GATAAAATATTATTCAAGGTCATCAGAAGATTACTTTTTGAGATTAGTACCTTTGAGTATAAAATATCTGTCATAACCATGCTTGTGATTCTTACAGTATTTTTTTGGAATTGTAACTGTCATACTCAAACACAATGTTCATGAAATTGGGAAAAAGATTGAACAAACCAAGGATATATCAGCTAATCCAGCCATTCTACTATTATGTAATGATAGAACTACTTTCTCACTATCAGCTGTTACCAGTATTACTACGCCTGAAACAGAAACAGATTTCGCATCAAGATAAAAGATTTGGTCCTCATGGAAAAGACATAAAATTTTGAATCTTAATCAATTTGACTTTTGTGTAAGCCTTAGGTAAATTAATAACAAGAACTTTTAGATGTAGCTGTAATGACGTGTATCTATCAGGGGAGAATTGTGGTGACAATATCTCTTTAAAGTATTTCAATCCAGCTTACCTCTGACTAAATCTTGTATTTGGAAATTCTCTGTAGGACTGAAATGTTTATGCAATTGGGTAATCTCATTGGCTGGACAAAAAGCCTAAAATATAAAAACATGAGACATAATTATTTTAACAAGTGTTCTAGACAGTAAGAGACATCTATATATTATCAAAAGAACAAGTTCCGAGGTTGCTCTTTACCAGCCTTTACTACTACTGTAGTACCAATTTAAACCGTGGTTGTCTTATATAAAAGATAATGTAGATCCATGTCCACTTCCAAGTCTTGTGTTTGAACCATACTCTAACTAGGCTCTGCCTACATTTTCAGATATAAATTTTACTTTAAATGATAATTTGATAGAGCACTTAGAATAACTAAAAAATAACAGGATATACATAATAACAACCATAAGTTGGAATAACGATTACCATAATTTTGAGGGAGTCTAAATCTCGAACTTTTTCATTGTCCATACACAGTATCTGTATAACTAGTCCACTGTCCATTACTGATGTTACTACACCAACTAATACATCTCCCTTCTCTACACTCTACAATACAAACCAAACCATAATCATTTATTTTTAACACAAGGGTTCATTGTCAGAAAGTTTGTTAGTCATTATCAACCTTGTTGAAATTTGATTGAACAATATTATCATTGCAATAACATTTACTGATCAGAATTCTGAATGTTGACAATGATTTTAAACTTGCAATGTGCTGACAACAGTTCTGTTAATGAATGGATATATATTGTACAAGACTTCCTTTGTCTTACCTTAAAAAAATGATGTCTACTGTGGTGTGCTGGAATTCCCATGAATGATTCTAATGGTGGCATTATAGCATAAGTATCTGAAAAATATCATAAATACAGAAAACATTAACAGAAACAAATTTGAGAGATGGTTGCAGACACTCCCCTTTAAACTTGAATCAAATATAGACTGTTGAGCAACCTGAATTTTGATAATCTACAGGGGGAAGGGGTAAATGATAACAAAAATATACAGAAATGTATTACCATCTGATGGTACAGGCTGAACTTCATGCTGTGTTTGAGCTTGACGTTTAAATAACAGATCTCCTTTCCGAGCTATAAACTGGTTCAATCGCACATTGAATGTGGCATCTCTGAAATACAAATATTGATAGTCAGAAATTTGACTAACAGGCAAACCAGCTACAATCGAATTCAACAATTATAGGATTTTCAATTCTTGTTCTTCTTTCCACCATTTTCAATATTTTCTAAAGGTCTACTTGAGATTTCAGCATCTCAACTTACCATTTTAAAATTATTGTAGAGAAGCATGATTTTGTTTTTTTACTAACAATAAAATTGGAAGTCTGTATCACAATTCTTTTTCTTGATCATAAATTTGGGGCATTTATTTGGGGACATAAATTGGAAAATATATGTCCCTGTCGAAGGTCTTTTATGATCTGAAAGAAAAACAAAATCAAAGCATGTTAATTTAATAAGAGTAAGTTTATGTTTTTATGCAAGTCAAACAGAATATTTGATATTCATTATCAAAAATAAACTAGTTAATTAAGTAAGAAGGCTTAGCATATAGATTCCCATTGCTCTAAACATTTATTTGAAAATATTTCAACCACTACTCACCAAACATTTTAGTCTTTTCCAATTCCTGAATCAACTTATATGCAAAATTATAAAAAGAGAATTGCTATTGTATGGAAACTTCATCATTCTTTAATTCAGTATACTTCAGATTGGCTTGCTGCTCTCTCAGATGAATTTTTCAACTCTTACATTAGGTACGGTATACCACTTTCAGGTATATTCAGTCATACACTTCAGCCAGGTCCTTTTCCCCACTGCTCTATACTGTTTTTCAGTTGAAAAATTGTTTACATTGGTTGTCAATTGGTTGTTTCTTTCTCCTGTTCTGTGGTTAAAAAACAATCATTATCAGTAGAACAGACCTTAGATGACATGCATTCAGGTTACGAAGGCAAAAACCAACCACCAAGTTTTATTGACAAATTTTATGGAAATTACAAAGAAAATAAGAGATATTGAAATTTGACATTATTAATGAACATCTTTATACAGCAAAACAGTGAAATAACCTGAATTGATTCATGAAGAATAGGTGAAAAGTCCACCAGTTACATGTACTTTTTTAATTTATTGCTTCATAAAAAGAAAATTACCACCATAAATTGTTCATGATGAAGGAATCTGGTGCCAATGTCTAAAAAAAATCTTCTGATCAAAGTCGTTTTAAAATCATGATGCACAAGCAAAATCAATTTTGAAATTAAATCTAGATTATAATCATATTATATATAAAATAAAAGTGTAAAACAAATTGTATATTGTTTCCCTTTTTCCATTATCCAATTTATAGACAACCATGGGTTATAAAACAAAACACAAGACAATATTATGGAATATAACACACTTCTTTAATATCAACACAAGACGTAATATTGTCTTGTGTTTTGTTATATGTGCTCCTCGCTTCTATATGTCGTTCAAATCTTAAACCATGTGTTAATCGGTCTTATTCATAAAAAACACAATATAAATATTTTTTTATTTTATTGTTCATACATTCCATCATACATTACCTTTAAATGTAAAAGCAACACGTTTACAGATTCGCAAAAATGACGAGAGAAATTTATTAATTTTCTTTTATTTTAACTGTTTACAACATACACTACCACTATTATTACTTTATGAATAGATAGGCATGGGGATAAAGGGACAGGAGTAGTAGAGAAATAACAAACATCAGTTTAACAATTTATTAATTCATGGAATATACAACAAAAGAGCACTTACCTTAGAGGGAGAGGTAAATGGGATTAAGGTGGTGACATGGACACCTATTTTTTTTATTTTTCAACAGTAATTCCATAGCTCAGTTATTTCAATTCAAATCACACATCAAACACACACACTCATTCAAAACTGAGAAAAAAGTCTTGAGAAATAATCAATATTTTCATCATAATAAACAACTTCTGATCAACGACCCATAAGACAAGGGCAAATACTGAACCGTACCTATGAACATAATAAACTACAATGACTCTATAATTTGTCAGAAATATGAATCTTTTCGAATACCAGTCAAGTTGTCGACACGCCAACTCGTCAACAGAATTTTATCGGTCAAGTCGTCGATGGAATTCAACCCGTCAACAGAATTTCATAAGTCAACTCCACAGATTAATATGCATACCTTGCTGGATTAAAAAGTATTCTCGAGACTGAAAATATAATTTTTTCATTACTTTTTCTTTAAAAGCTTGATAATTACTCTAACAGTTAAACCAAGAAAATATTGATTAAGATCTCAAGACTAGAAATCAGACTGTCTCCTACCCCAATTCTGAACCTCTACAGCTGACGAATTCATTTCTATATGCTCTATCTATCACTGACTGTGGTAAATGTTCACGTTGTTCTGCTTCTAGCCATCGTAATAATGGTGTACCATGTTGACGTAATGCCTGCACCACCAGGTTTGAGTCCATTTTCTTGCCATCGTCCTCATCATGTTGTCTGACTAGGTTTCCGAGAGTAGCTCTGATATTCACTGGTATATTTACATTGTTTAAAACTGGTATAGTAATTAGGCTGAAATATAAAACAAATTTGCCAATCTTAATTGCACAAACCCCAAATTTAACAGTCATTACAGCAATTGACTCTATATCTATGACAGGGTCCAAAGCAATGAGTTACTGGATGTCAATCTCTTTGAAAGTTCATGACCTTGACAAACCATTCATAATTTTCACTCCTCCCCCATTCGATTTAAAGTTTGCGATACGATATATAAATAAACATGAAATGGTGCTAACATTGATGGACTTTAGTGTGGATATGTTGTTCTATGTCTGAAGTGCATATTTGATCGCTTTTAACACACGGTTCTCAATTCGACCATAAACCTTGTCTGCTATTCTTAGGGTCAAAGAAGGATGAGTCAAAAAGTTCAATTTTCTTATTGTCTGCTGGCTATCGTCTGCGGACTTGATCTTAGTTTTTTGTCTGCAAACCTTATCGTCTGCCCAGTTGATCTCAGCGATAAAATCGCATTATCAAGATGTCACTCACAAAAGTCTTAAACAAAAGTCACTTTCTTCCGAGAGCACAAGCTTCCCAGCAGAAGAAAAAATAGTCACCTCTTTTCAACATTGACAAAATGTTACGAATTTTAAGCTAGACAATAAAAATAATTTATTTTTTCCTACCTGTCCATTTTCCATTCACACCTTTTCTACCTCTGTTATCTAATCCTTGAAGAACATTATAAGGAGTTATGTCCCTTTATAGTTTAGACACAAGAGTTTCATATTTTATGATTTTTCGAAGATTTAGCATCTTTCTTGAATTGCTTGCCAGTAATTTTATGATTACCATTGTCAATGTAAACCAGTTCTTGTCTATAAAATTGACATTGTCTTGGAATGATCCTGTCACTGAAAATTTGTGACATTTCAGTTTAGCCCATAGATTATCATTCAGCTTCAGACCACAGTAAAATATGTGAGATGGAGAAGTTAATGGTTTTGCCTTTTCAATTAGTTTGTCTGAGTTGGATATTCAGCACTGTTTATTCGGCTTCTAGGACATGTAAGTTTTACTTTTTTGATTTAAATTGTCCTTGAAACATTAACAGAGATCAAACCACTAAGTGGCTCTTGTAGGTCAAAGACCTGGCTGTAACACCTTTCCTTTGGCTTGAGCTTTTGGCATTGCAGGAGTTAAACTCAAAAACTTTCATATTTGGATACATATTTTTAATGAATTACAATAAATCTAAGAACTGTAATGAGATGACAGTTTGGCAATTAAGATGTTAAATTGTTATTTGAATTGGTGAAGCCAGGATGGAGCTGGGGTGGTTCACAAGGGCTATTTTTGCTAAAAAAAAGATTTGCTGTATCACATCTTAGTGATCATGAGGACACCAATTTTGGACTTTCAAATCAAATATTTGAAATATGTTAAATATTGATCCAAAGTATTTTTATGAATTAGGACCCATAAGTCAATGCTATTTATCATTCATGTATTTTTTGATATTTCAGTGTATTTAGATTCATTCCACACATGTAACCAATTAGATTATGTAGTGGATCAATATCAACAATATTATGTGACAACCGAGAGAAAACCTTCCGTTACTTCCAAGGCTTACGTTAAATGTCACATGACCTTCAAGGCTCGTGACTTTACCCATAGAGTATGTTTTATAGTGTTACAATATGAACCTGATCCTAAATGTAATATTTTACTACAGTTCTATGAAGGGGATCATATAGAGAATGGTGTAGGAGCTGTGAGTAATTATTATTGATAATTTCAATTGAAATATTAATGATAATGAGTAGACTCTTTAAAGATGATTTTGAATTATAAATAACCTGTCATATTTCTTCATAGGCATTAGGTGTTTCTAAAAAGTGAGGAGACCATGGTTGTTAAAAATCATGAAGAAATTAATTAAAATAGTTATTATAATGAGTATGAGTAATAGTGAGCATGCCTTTCATTGGACAATGTTGAAAACCTCAGTATTGTAGTCAATATAAGTCCAGGGTATCTCTAAAGAGCCTGTCAAAGAAGGTTCAGATTTTCCAGACACCCTGGTAAAAGTTTAATATTTCAAGCAAAATTTGAAATTTGTAAATGTGTGATGTATTTGTATGATATATTTATAGAAATTTGATTGTGAATCTAACTATCGGATACCGTATAAATGGTGTTCAGGAGGTCAACTAGCTATGATAGTTTTAGAGAGAACCTCAGCCTCCTCTAGTACTAGAGATATGCAAACACATATAATAGTCACACAGGAACTCAATACCAACAGAACAGGTAGTGTATTTTCATGTTGCCTTGGATTTTTTTTTATAAAATTGAACTAATGTTTTGACAGGTACTTTCAGTTTCATCTTGACTTGTTTTTTTTTTTGGGCCTAATGACTTGATAGGTAGTGTTATTTTCATCTTGATTTGTTTATTTTTGAATTGAACCCAAAGACTTGACATTTTCCTCTTGACTGTTTGTTTTATTTGATTGAACCTAACATTTTGGCATTATACCATAGTATCAACATATCTAGGTGATATGCAACATCTTAAGACTGTATGAATAACATCCCAATTTTTCATTCATTTTGAAATATTGATAAAATTAAAAAAGCCTTCTTAATTTATCATATACCAATGGCTTTAAAGATGGGTTCCCTTATTTTCATTTATCAAAATGAAAATGCTAATACTTATATGAATAGAAAGTAGAGGTATTCATGACCATAATTAATTCATATTTGAAGAGAATAACCAGCAAAATTCCAATGAGTGACCGATCAAGAAAGGTCAAAAAGTTCTTTTTGGTTTATCCAGACTGTACATTTATATTTGGTCAAAACTCTTAATTATATGCAATAATGATATGATTGATAATACATGATAATTCATTAAACACCAATTAATGAAAAAAATTTGCTTAATTTGTCACTAAAAGATAAGGAAACCCATCTTTAAGCTATTGATACTGGCTTAGGGTCTGAGCTTATGCTAAAATACTGGGCTGTGAAAATGAAACAAATATTATATCTAAACATAAATATTTTATATTTTTTTTTCAGCTTATCTTGATGCTCAATGTGGAACTTTACATTTAATGGATCATAGTACAGTTAATCTCTATAATCGCCATCCAAATAATTCTAATGTAGTACCTAAGCGTTGTGAACAGATATTTGAATATGTTGGTGAGGTAATGTAACTATATTATTTTCCTTCTCAGCTGTCTTTTGATGCCCATAACCGTCACTGACTTATGATTACTATAATGATTACTGTGATTATAATGATTACTTTGATCATAATGATTACTTTGATTATAATGATTACTTTGTTTATAATGATTACTGTGATTATAATGATTACTGTGATTACTTTGATTATAATGATTACTTTGATCATAATGATTACTGTGAGTTTAATGATTATTGTGATTATTATGATTACTGTTATTATAATGACAACTGTGATTATAATGATAACTGTTACTATAATGAGCACTGTGATTATAATGATAACTTTGATTATAATGATTACTGTGATTATAACGATTACAGTGATTATAATACTTGTTTTGATTATTATGATTACTGTGTTTGTAATGATTACAGTGATTAAAATGATTATAGTGATTATAATGGTTACTTTGATTATAATGAGCACTCTGATTATTATGATTATTGTACTGTGATCATAATGATTACTGTGATTATAATGAGCACTGTGATTATAATGATTACTGTAATTATAATGATTACTGTAATTATAATGATTACTGTGATTATAATGATTATTATGATTTCTGTGTTTATAATGATTACTGTGTTTATAATGATTACTGTGATTATAATAACAACTTAGATTATAATGATTACAGTGATTATAATGACAACTGTGATTATAATGACAACTGTGATTATAATACTTGCTTTGATTATTATGATTACTGTGTTTGTAATGATTACAGTAATTAAAATGATTATAGTGATCATAATGATTACTGTGATTATAATGATTACTGTGATTATAATGATTACTGTGATTATAATGACAACTGTAATTATAATGATTACTGTCATTATAATGATTACTGTCATTATAATGATTACTGTCATTATAATGATTATTATGATTTCTGTGATTGTAATGATTACAGTGATTAAAATGATTATAGTGATTATAATGGTTACTTTGATTATAATGATTGCTGTGATTATAATGATTGCTGTGATTATTATGATTATTGTACTGTTATTATAATGACAACTGTGATCATAATGATTACTGTGATTATAATGATTACTGTGATTATAATGAGCACTGTGATTATAATGATTACTGTGATTATAATGACAACTGTAATTATAATGATTACTGTCATTATAATGATTACTGTCATTATAATGATTACTGTGATTATAATGATTACTGTGTTTATTATGATTACTGTGATTATAATGATTACTGTGATTATAATAACAACTTTAGATTATAATGATTACTGTGATTATAATGATTACTGTGATTATAATGATTACTGTGATTAGAATGACAACTTTGATTATAATGAGCACTGTGATTATAATGATTACTGTGATTATAATGACAACTGTAATTATAATGATTACTGTCATTATAATGATTACTGTCATTATAATGATTACTGTCATTATAATGATTACTGTGTTTATTATGATTACTGTGATTATAATGATTACTGTGATTATAATAACAACTTTAGATTATAATGATTACTGTGATTATAATGATTACTGTGATTAGAATGACAACTTTGATTATAATGATTATTTTGTTTATACTGATTACTGTGTTTATACTGATTACTGTGATCATTATGAATATTTTGATTATAATGAATTCTTTGATTACAATGATTACTTTGATAACAATGATTATTGTGATTATAATAATTATTGTGATTATAATGATTACAGTCACTATTATAATTAATCTGATTATAATGATTACTGTGATTAGAATGACAACTTTGATTATAATGATTATTTTGTTTATACTGATTACTATGTTTATACTGATTACTTTGATCATTATGAATATTTTGATTATAATGAATTCTTTGATTACAATGATTACTTTGATAACAATGATTATTGTGATTATAATAATTATTGTGATTATAATGATTACAGTCACTATTATAATTAATCTGATTATAATGATTACTTTGATGATAATGATTACATTGATTATAATGATTACTTTGATTATTATGATTATTGAGATTATCATTACTATGAGTGTAATCATTACTGATTTTTTAATCACTACGATTATTATGATTATTTTGATTACTGTGATTATAATAATAATTGTAATTAGTTTGATTACTTTGATAATAATGAGCACAGTGATTATAATGATTATTGTGTTATTTTGATTACTTTGATCATAATGATTACTGTGATTACAATGATCATTTTGATTATGAGTGAGAAGTTTTTTTACTTGTTTTTCTATATGTTAGGAAGAATATCCTGTGTGTGTTACCATGAAATTCAATAAAAACAAGCTACCAGACAATAAGTGTTCATTTTTAATCAAAATTGGTGATGGAAAATCTAGTAAAGGGTCAGTCATTTCAGATGTAAGTACGGTGTTAACTTTTAAGTGATATGAATCACCTTATCACATTTTTCATCAGAAATTTTATCACAAAGGAAACTTCAATGCTTAAAGAGATACTACCTTTTAGCAGTCACATAAAAGTAACTTCTCAACCTTGGCCTATAAGAGTATATATTCATCAGTGGTTTCAGAACAATACAACAAAATCTCTGTAAATGTTATTCAATGGATTAAACCAACAAATTATTGAAAAAATGTTGAGAAGCCTAGATTAGTAATTACTTAGCTTTATGGGAATCTGTTATGTTATGGCTTTTGGTTAGACTTTAGATGAATATATACTCTTATTGGTCAAGGTTGAAAATCTATATTTCAAGTTCATTCTAAGAGGTAGTATTCCTTAGGGATGGATTATCTTATTGCAGCTGAAAATTTCTAATTTTAGAACTGGTCATGTGATAAGTTAACTCCTAAAGAAATCTGTTCTAAAGGTCGTATATTGACAGTGTATATAGAAAGATTAAACTATGACAGTGAACAGGATCCTGTTGGTATTTTTACACTCACTGTTCAGGACAGGTCTCCAGGTAAGTTTTTACTGTTTATATTATGATTTGAGTATGAAGGTTCTTCTCTAACATTAGCTCTATCCGTTGTTAATGCTAACATAAAGATGATTATGGGTTTTAACCGCTTTTAACATTATCTCTGTCCCCTTCATGGTTGAAAGGTGCAGAACTAAAGTACTTAATGGGATTGTAAAGAGTTTTTCTAAAATATCGGGAACACTGATGTCATCAGTTTGCACTATTCCAATTAATCCCTAGATGTCTGTGATTTCTGAAAATCCACTAAAATGAAGCGTTTTATGAAGGCACTATCACAAACCAAATTTTGCAATAGTGACGTCACACTTAGTTTTTAGTGGAATTGCAGGAACCACTGATTTCTGACTGAAAATTGAAGGGAATTGCAACAGACATTTGCTAGATGACCTAGGGTGTTATTGTTAAAGTACCCTTTATTTCTTATCTGAAGTTATTGGATTATAATATTATTATAGCTCCACCAGCCCCTGTCAGTGTAACAGCTATAGTATTAGGTGTACTAGGTGGTATAGTAGCTCTGGTATTAATATATTTGATATTAGCAGTATTTCTGGAACAGAAAAAAGGGATTTACATTGGACCGTGTTGCATATGTAGAAAATACTGTAAAAAATATTCAGGTAAATTTTGGTTGTAACTTTTTGGAATTTAAATGAATAATGGCATTTATATTAATTTATTATGTACATCAAATGGGGGCAATAAGAGATTTACTTTAATGTTGATCTGGTGTTTAGTGATGTCACATAGGCTATTCCATCATATGACGTTGCCATCTTATCAATTACAATTCCTTCAATTTGACAGGTTAAATTGATACATTTTGGCTGTATGTATATAGATACATGTATATAATTTCATGTATCATAACATCTAAACAAGTTGTCAACTTGTCATTCAATTTCTTTCTTTCAGCTGATGATAGTATTTCTATGGCAACAGGTTTTACCTCTGTATCAACTCATCAACCTGGTGAAAGTCAAAGTGTTTGATCTTAGTTTATAAAACTGATTTTCTTGCCCTTTGTTGTAAAATAGCAGGTTGTTCTACTAAAAAATTATTACTATTTCAATATGAAAGAAAAAGTGTTCCTAAAAAAGAAGACAGGATAACAGTCTTGGCCCATCAAGAACTACTACATATTTCTACTGTGTCCTATTGTAACAGGTAAAGCTTGTAATCAAAACTGAGATGATAAATATTCATCATATCATGTGATTATTCAAACTGACAAATCAACATGTGTTCATAATGAAGAAACTTGTGAATATTTACGTGTACGGGTAACCCCCCCTTTTATGATGAAGGTTGTGTTGATTGGTTAAAAATTCATCACAGAAAAAGAAGAAATTTAAATAAAGTGAACGACAGTCAGTGTCTTTAATTATAAGTGGATGGTAAAAACAATGATGATTTAAAAGTTAAAAAGAGGACTGGTCATTTCTTAAGACTCTGCCTTATATAAAAAAAACATACATAGAAATAGAAAGTGAAATTCTTTGTTTGCTGTATTTTTGAAGGAATTATGCCATTTTTGTACATTACTAGTAGTTCTGAAGACTATTTACAAGTATTCAAGACCCAAATCAACCCCCGAAAATGGTGAATCTGTCCCTTTGTTAGATACAACAATCCAAATGGTGCAGGCACACGAACAGTCTCTGTTGCCGACTCGAATCTGGAGTAAAACCTCGTGTACCTGCTTCCAATAGATTATTGCCAACACGATCTATAATATCAAACCAGTTTTATATTTGTCACTTATTGTTTTATCATAATATATAATAACTCACTGTTGTGCTTTTGATTTATACCGGTCTAATATTTTGCTTTACATGCTCAAAACATTTGTTATCTTCTTCCTGCTTTTTCTAGGTTGTTTTATTTGTGTATTGTATATTGTTTTATATATTTTGATGATATTTTTAACTTAAAATATACTTTATATTTATAAACATGTTTTTTTAATGCTTGAAATGTGTTGACTGGTGTACACATTCGTAGACAATTGTTAGTACTATAGATATTAGTTATATTAGAGTTCATTAGGAGGTCAAGAAGCCTACAATAGTTACAATAGATATTAGAGTTCATTAGGAGGTCAAGAAGCCTACAATAGTTACAATAGATATTAGAGTTCATTAGGAGGTCAAGAAGCCTACAATAGTTACAATAGATAGAAGAACAAGTTAACAGAACAATCATCAAGTTAAAATAAATTGGATCAGAGGAGGCAGATCAAAAGAGGTGGGAAAGGATGACAGAAGAGTAATAATAAATATTGAATTATAAAATTGTTACAGATTCTTTTATTAAAAAAAATATAGTATAACAAAAAACAAGTTTTAACTACAAAACAACAATATACACTAACCATAATATATAAACAAACAACTCTATATTTCATACTTGATACAGTGGACTTACAGTCAAACAAACATTATATTTTAACAGTTTAATAATAAATATTACAGTACTGGAATCAGATGATATGTTGAATATTTTTACGAAGTTGAAGAATTAGATTGCTTTTTAATAAAAAATATAATTATTCAAGTCCCTAACAATACCCAATCCACTATCATAATAACCATATTGTATACATATATTCCTTAATCTTTGATTTCTACTGTGACCTGAAAGATGAAAGCCCTGACCACACCATTGTTGACTTGATATAGAACTAAGAAAAGATATTAATTTTTCAAATGAGCTTGGAGATACCTGTTCAATTGTTATTTTACAACTTTTGCGCATATAATTAAGCTCTTTAAACATTTTAATTAGATGAAATTGAAAAGTCATCCACAAGATGATCTATGGATATAATTCAATCAAAGTAACTAGTAACTAATAAATATTCCTTCACCAAAACTACCCACAATCCTTTAACGTATGTTTTCCCTATACCAAATTTCTATGCACATCCTGGTCCGATTCGAAATAAGAACAGCCTATTTTATTTAGGAGGTAGGATAAGTATTTTTAGAACATGCTATGAGAGTGTTTTATAGAGCACTAATTTCTACTATTCTACCTAACATAATCTGCTCTAGTTTATGTTTTGAATCGAATAAATATATTACTGTTAGAAAGTTTAAGTAATAACTATTAGCTGGTATTATAATATGACTGTTGACATTATTACCTTAATATAATTGATATGAAATTGTTATTACAGTCAGTAAATATCAACACATCAAATATCTAATGTTATAAGACTAGACTTATTAAGATGAGCAGCAAATCTTTCACTAATATAAATAATAGGTTGGTGAGCTTCATCATTGAGCGAATAGTAACTATCAAATACTGAACTGAACTACTAATTTATAAAGGAATTAAGAGCGTGTGATAGATAATGATGAGAACACAGTCTCACCAAAGCACTGGCCTTGGTCACACAATAAAGATTTATGATTAATCATAGTGAAAGATTTCAATTTAAAATTTCAGAGAGATTTCAATGCAAATTCTTTTTGAGATATGGCAAAAGTGATTTCCATTGTATATCACAGTCACAATTACAACCAATCAATCTGACTTCTCTAATTAAACACAAGAATAACAATGGGGACAGCTATTTTTTCAGACTTTTTGTTAATATTCATTATGATTTTTGTTAATATCTATTAGTATTTCCAAGGGTCGTAGCACTTATATCCTGAGCATATGATTATTTGCGTAAATACAATTGGAAGATAAATTTTATGTATTTTCTGCCACATACACACTTTACAATACATGTAAATGTACACTTACATTGTAAAAGATCACATGACTTCCATATAAGGAATTTTGATCACATGGCATGCATATACTAGCATGACATCTCAAGAATCGTTTGATCACATGACAAAATTTAGGCATCAATATGATCACATGACAATCAGGCACACAATGCATCACATGATACTCTTTTCGTAGTCACATGATTTCCATATTAGGCATACATTGTTCAGATTTGAATTTATCACATGATTTACTACCCATTTGGTACATGTACATCATTCACACATAATTTTGGTCACATGACTTCCAAATAAGGCTGGAATCACAGATTCAATTACAAGTTTCTATCAAGAAGATAACTTTTTGTTGGCAAGGTCACTGGTTCTTTGTGCTATTAAAAAAATGTCTGAAGCAAGTTCCTCCACTGTTGTGTATCTTGCCTTGTCGAAACTAAAAATATCTTGAATATACCCTAATACCAAATCCTGTAGTATAATAAAAAACATTCCATAAAATACTTTATATAGTAAGCTTTTATATTAGGGAATAATCGACCCAAAACAGATGATAACCAGTACTTGACATTGGCATTATCATGAATCTTATTGCAAATATCTGTCTGTCTAAACAGCACTCAAATGTATAGGTCTCGAAGATACACACTTTCACCCGAAAAATTGAAGAAATTCGGTTTTGCTTTCTGTCATAAAATGTGCACCTGTCAAGTATGGACAGTAGAGCCGACCAACAGAAAGCCAAACTTTGAGGGTATATAAATGGTTAATAATTCTTACCTTGAATTCTAAACAAAGAGTTTTTAACTCTGATTCTGGTCCTAGAAAACCCCAGGCTAGTAGAGGACTAACATGTTCTGATATACTATACATATGGGCCATAAAACCATCCGAAATCTATAATCAAATTAGGCATTATTAGTGGGCAATGTACTGGAAACAGAAAGGGTCTGGGAACCAAGTACTGTCATTCAAAAAAAATGGTTTTATCTGAATTACTCTTACAGTCTCTTCAGTCAAATCAAATATGGTCTAGCCAACAGTGACAAAGGCTTTACACTGTCATCAACAGTTGCCATATAAAAAGCTATGCATTCCATTTAATTTTGATGAATTTTATAACAATTTTACCTTTAAAAGTCTTCTCTTGGCTTTTAATACAGACCATATAGCTGTTGATAAAGCCTGAAATAAAGATAAATTCTATCCTAAAATAACTGTTAATAAACATATAAATTTCTGAAATAGCGTGAAACTCTGAGTAACAACAGGTTCTGTTTTAATATTTCTAAATTTCTTCACAAATAGTTTAATTGAGAAAAAGTCATTTGATGCCAGTTTTTCTAAATTCAACTCAAAGGTCTAAAGTTTCCAATGATTTTGCTCTATTCACCAATCATGTCTGTTTAGAGTGCTTAAACGTATTGCAGTGATTTTGATCGAGACCTTTTATCCTTTAAAACTTAGTTATTTACAGACTTTTCGCACATGAAGAACTTCTATAACATCTAGCAGTGGGTATTCTGTAGGATGAGCTTTAGATTATAATTAGAAATATGAAACTCACTGTTTCTTTAAAGCCATTTGATAACCATCTATTTTGAGCTACAGCTGTCACTGTAGATGGTGGACCCTCTAGATCATCAAAGGCATCCATCATAATAAAATCTAACACGATATCATAGAACGTTAATATCTTAACCTGTAATAAAACATGGAACAATTAGGCTTTATTGTTACGAATATAGCAAGATATTGAGGAAAATTAAATAGCTTAAATTGAGCTCTATCAACTTGTAAAGCAAATATAATATATCACTCTACATCTAACACCCTACCTATCACCCTACATCTAACACCATATCTAACACCCTACATCTAACACCCTACATCTAACACTCTACCTATCACCCTACATCTAACACCCTATCTACCCATTTCACCAAACTATCTGAAAAACTCAAGTTCAAAGTCAGAAATCTCAAGTCCATTAGTTAACTGCATGTCACTTCTCTAATCTAAAAATCTATGATGACAATATGAATAGATTTCATTGAAAGTTGTATTGACCATATATAAAATGTAAGTCATGTACATCAGGGAGTAACTTACACCTCTGCCTTTTAATTCTTCTTCTATTTTCCACCAATTACTCTCATCTTTAATAAATTCTATAGTTTTATCATAACTTGTATAGAAATCTTCAGGATCCTACAGAAATTAACAACACAGTACCTTATTAATTTCACAATTCAGATTCTTTCTTGTCCTTTATATATTTATCAAACTAGGCACAATTTTATTCCATTATTACAATATTTCACAAATCTTTTCTTAAGCAAACTGCCTTTTACTGGTAACAACCAACTGTAACATCATTATTAAACAACCCTTTTACACAGAGCAGTTATCATTTATATAACAAAGTTCTAATGTATCAGATATAATACTAACCTTATCACATTGTATTAATAAATTACCAATAATTCTTCTACCAGTTTTAATAAACCATTCTCTTTTATTGATGTCTTTAAATAATTCCTGAAAATAGGTAAATATTTCTCACCTGTAGAAAACAGTCATTGTCTCTCTCAAGCCAAGTCGTTAGTTATGTGATATCTATACAGATATGCAAAGATGTTGAAACATTAGTTATAAAATTTTTCGAACATCATACATACTAACTTATTGCAGTCATTACAAGTCTATTGTCTGACATGCTGACTATTATTCACTTATTTCTATGTATATCTATAATTGTTTATAACTGATATATCTATAATTGTTTATAACTGATATATCTATAATTGTTTATAACTGATCTATTTCTACTTACATCAGAAGCTAAACGTATACAATGTACTTTAGCTAGATATTCGGTATCAGATAAACATTGGGTCATTTCAGTTCTGAAAAAAAAACCAGAATAATTGAAATCTCAAGAGCAAACAGTAAATTTGGTGTTAAATCTAAGCAATAGGCACCAGACCTTATCCACTAGCCTTTAACAATTCCTAATTGACCATAGAACAAAGCCAGGCACTCAGAACTCACAGAACAGGATTACTATAAAATATATCACGACTAAATATCAGTAAATACAATATATTACCTGAGAGTTCTACAAGTTACGTTACCATACTTTAATTCCATCAACCCAGCCTCATATAACGGTAAAAAATGAAACATTTCTCGATGATTGTCTAAATCTGATAAATTAGCCATCTACAAAAATATAATTGACATTTTCTTTTTCTTTCAATGAAACAAATCAAAATGAACGATGCAAACTTCAGAATGTTGACTGCTTGCATGATTCTGTCCTTTGATAGGATTCGAAAGCTTCAACTCGTCCTAAGAAACTATTCATAACATCAGGAACCTATTTTTACCAAAATCCAATACAAAAACGTTACACTTGTAATTGAGTTTCTAAAATGAAATAATATAATGAACTTACATCAGTGGCTGAAACAAATGAATCTTGATCACTACTTGAATCTCCATCTAGACTTCTCTGTCTTTCTCGTAGGGTAATATCAGCTTCAGCGAAGGCAGATATTGCTGAATCTAATGCTACATGATCAGCATGTCGTTCACACTGACGTTCATAATTATCCTGCATTCTATATGCCATATCTAATAGATGTTCTAGTCTATGTTGTAGAGCTGCTGTATCCGGGTCCTGAAGACGAAATTAAATTGAAATATAATGAGAAGTATCAATATCAAATATGAAATGCACCAAGTTAATGATTTAAAATGATGCTTTATACATAGCAACATAATGAAAGTTATGAATAATGAAAAATTGACAATTCCTTACATTTCTAAATGGATTTAAATTCATGAAAAGACTAAAATGGCTTGAATGATGTTAAGTCAACAGGTAATTATAGGAAAACACAGTAAGAACAATGATAAACTTACTGGTATAGCAAGATATGGTTGATCATCTAGATATGATAATCTCATGATAGCATCTTCCCAGAGTGATACAGCACCTCCTAGTCTTTCAATACCTATAATATATAATATATACAATAATGATTGCTCTCTTAACATATTCATTATTCATGTCAGAAACTTAACATAACTTGAAATTCTTTACTCAATAGATGATTTGGTGAATTAACTGGCAAAAAGTGTTTCCTTGTTGAAAGTCAAATCTGATTTTCTTCTTTTAAAAATAAATTGAGAGGTTGTAGATTGAGGTGCTTTAAATCAAAGGTGAAATAAAATACTGACTCACTATTTTGACCTATGAGCCAAAATTAATTGAAATTTTTATATCCGCCATTAAAGTACTGGTAGCCCATAAATAAAAACTTTTAAAATGACTTACCTAAATGACAGAGTTGTAGAGGTGTCATAGAACTAGTATCTAGACCAGAATGAGTGATAGTAGAGGTAGTTGATATTCCACCCAAACTTGACATTGATCCTGATAGGGATTTCTGTTTCCGTAATAATGATCCAATAGGACTGGTCCCAAAATAACTTCCTTTTCTTGCAACATCTAGAATACAAATTTACAAACATCAATATTCAGAGTAAAAAAAAATAAGATACATCGAAAAATAAAGGTACAAAACCATTTTTAAGCAAGTTTGTCATTATCTGAATTTATACCCAACACAAAAAAAATTCACAAAATGTAATTATTGCTTGGGAGAGAGATTTATTCAAAAAAGGGGAGAGGAATCCATTTCCTTTAAAGTTTATCAATATCTGAATCTATATCCCCAAAACAAAAATTATTTATCCCACATGAAATTTAATCTTTTGCCAACAGATGGTTTGTGACTGCAATGACTGATGACCCAAAACAAGGAAACAAATATAAACAAACTTAATCACCATACCTCCATTGGTGTAGGTATGTTTTGGTCTATGCTGCCTGGCATTCTGAAGTTTTAATCGAGCTTTCAGTTTGTCTGTGGCTTCCTTCCTTCCTCTCCTTCTACGAAAATAAGCTGACAACATTCCTATTAAAGCTAGTCCTAGAGTTACACTGAATACTGTTATTTTAGCTGGTTTGTTTAACTGTGTATGTAGATTTGGTATCCTTGATAAATGGTGCTGAATCTGAGGAAAGTTTTTGAACATGTTTGTGGTTTATTTGTCTGAAATAAATTTAAAGACATTATCACATAGACAACAACAAAGATCTGTTTACTTGAGAGAGATCTTATATCTTTTTTACTGTAACTGGAAGTTGTAAGCACTGGTAACATTTGGTGTTGTTTTTATTTACTGACAAAAGCAGTAGGAATGCTCAAGGACAAAGAGAGATAATCATGAAGCCCTAGCATGTCCTAGGGTCTAATCTTCGAAAACAGTTTCTAGGATTCTAATGATAAGATAGTTGCGAGCCTGGGATTGTAGTAGATTAATCATATTGGTAGGCCTACTGTCAATGTTGATATATCTTATATAAGGGTATGTCAGCCTACCTCTTTTAGGCCTACATGGGTGCTAAGTTAATGAAGGCTATATTATTTGGTCAGTAAAAATGGTTTATATTCATTGCCATTATTATTGACCTGTAGCTTAAGTAAGACTATAATTTGGCTTATATAAACACAACATATTTTCACCACCAGAGACACCCTGAGGAATATACCCTTTCTGATAATACTCACAAGCTCTAAAGACAACAAGATTTAGAAATATTTGGTTGATACACTGGTTGGCAACAAAGTCCAAGGACAAAAACACAGTACTTGCATGGAAGGAAGAAGTCTAAAGTCTTCAACAAAAGGTTTCGCACTTCAAATTTGACTAACAAACTTGATACCAAGTTCTTTGATATGCATGTATTCTAATTCTCTTCACGTGTACCACCAAATTCACTGAATATGATTTGAAAAAAACTAGCTTATGATCAAATACAATTAAATTCGAAAATAAATGATACAGCTTTACATAAAATTTTGCCAAAATGGCGACTGCCATGGAAAGCGCCCCGGCTCCTTTGCAGCCAAAAGTAAGCATTATGCCTAACACTTTGCCATAACATTATAGTTGCCGTTTTAATTAAATCAACAATAATTTAAATCTCTGATTTTCAATTGAATCTAGCAATTTCTTGTGGGATATATTGTTTATTGTTAAATTGTTTATTGTTTTGTTTTTATCTAAGGGGACGTAACCCCTGTTTCCCTTTAATGATTTCAGACCACATACATTTTCTCCATAAACTTTTCAATTTTTTTGTTTGAATAGGACATCCTAAATGAAGTGAATAATTTTCTACATGGAGCTAGACGTGATGAGAAAGTTGCCAGTGAAAGTCTGGCTAAATCAGCTCTATGTTTGTTGAGGTCAATGCCTGCAGCTAGACACGCAGTTTTGGAACATTTCTGTAATGTCTTCAATGAAGCAGTGCGTAGACATTTATCAGAGCTTGATCAACAGGGTTCTTCAACTATGACCACAGGTTAAGATTATATATAAAATGTATTATAGTTGAATTTCTTGAAACCTAGGACCATTACATTACTTACATTACAACATAATGATTATATCACAAATCAAAGTGCCCTTTATTGATACTTTTCAATTTATTACGATGTAGAAGTCATGTTATATTTGTAAAAAAATTTGACTGAATTTGACTGAAGTTATATGTTATATGCTTATTTCACATATTTGCTTATTTCTGTGGTTGAGAATAGGTTTTGTTTTATAATTTTAGAAGAAGGAGATAATTTAGAGACTATATTAAATGATATTGTGGGAGTTTTACTGTCGTTTATTAAAACAAACCCTGATGCCTGGGCTCCTATCATTTCTTCAGTAAGTCAAAGTTGTTGAATCAAATGTTAAATTTGCTACATTTGCCTTTGCAACTTTTATATTGTTCTGAAATCTTGCAAGTTCAAATAACGCTCTATCTGAGAAATAACCAAGAACTCTTATCTCTTCTCTTGTATCCTTGATAAGCTTGATGTATAAATCATCTGTTTTTCAGTGGTCTCTGGAGTTATTAGGACATCTAAGCAGTAAATATTCAGAGAAAAGAGTTTTAGTGCATGTGAACTCTCTAAATGAAGTATTACAACTATGGATGACTTGTAAACCTACTAAATTATTGATGGAATTGGCTACAGAATGTTTCGCAGCAATGTAAGTAAGCTTTGTCAAAATATGTTAGTAGAGAAGTGACACCTATTAAAAATGTGGCTTTTGGTTTAAATAAATCACCAAAATATCGTTTTGGAATTGTCTTATAAATTTTTGTTAATAGTTAAGTTTATTCACTGGAATATATAAATGGTGTATTACAGGGTAGCAGGTGCTCCAGATAGTTGTGTAGACTCCCTATTAGAAGGTTCAGTAAAATATAGTCCACATTTTGACTGGGTTGTTGCTCACATAGGGTAAGTTTAAATTTATTACTTACTTATATTCTATTATTTTTTTGTAACCAAAAATAAATTCTTCTTGATATTCTCAAAGATAATTGATTTGTTTTGTCAATGCAACTTATTTTGGATATCTTTAAATGGATTGAAGATATTGTTTCTTTTAATGGAATTTTTTGGATCTTGCTTATTGTTGATTAACATTAATTATTTAACAACCAGTAAAACTACATATCAAGAGTATTTTTTTATATTTAGATCTTGCTTCCCTAAAACCATTATAACCAGGGTGTTAAATTGTGGTTTAAAAGATTTCTGTAACCTTGACAACCAGCATCCTGATCGACCTATTTCACCTAAACATCGTACTCCAAAGATGGCATCAGTAGTGGGAATTCTGGGACATTTGGCATCAAACCATGGAAACGATATACGACAAGCATTGATGAAATTATTTCAGGTGGAGTTGGTCTTTTGAAAGCTATAGAGAATTTTAGAGACTGTAATAATCTGTAAATGTTAAATAATAGAATCTCAAACAGTTATGCATAATATAGAATGTCAGTTTAAGAATTCAAAGCATTAAAGCAATAGAGCATTTGAGCCCTTACAGTTGGTTAAGAATAATAATTATGTTCCGTTATTTAATGTGATCTCTACCCCTAAATGTTGATTAAGGATTAAGACTGATATTGGAAAGAAGTCAAAATTTTGAGGAGTGAATCATCTTCTCTCTTAATATCAGGAAAGCCAGCTACAAATGCCAGTGTGTGGATTATAGAAGAAAGTGCAATTAAATTAAATAAGAATAAGGTAGAAGAGATTTGAAAATTATTCATAATTTTAACCAGACACAATTCTGTATTAAATATTTATTATTATAGTCATAATTATTTACAACATATTTATTATAATTCTAGGAAAGTCTGATATCAGAAAATGATGTAGTAAAAGTTACAACAGTACCATTTCTACTACAACTAGCCTCTATGTCCACTATGTTACTACAAGTATTAACTACTGATATTATAGCAGCCTGTAAGTAACTAATTATTTCATGGTGTTATGTAATGTCAGGTTTATCACACCTTGTTTTACTGAACCTTGTTTGTAAAGAATATATTAGAAAACTCAATCTGATGTGGGGAAGGGTGAAATACCAAACATACTCACAACTCATTGAGATATTTTAATGCAGTTACCATATAGTGGGCAAGCGTGTGTTATGAGCACCCCATCTTACCCACAAGAAAATCTGGAAAAAATCTGTGTCACCATAAATAATATACATCCCATTTAGAAGAAAACAATCAACGATTTGGTATAACACAGACAGCATGTTATTTATTAGTTTAATATTTTCAGTGACACCTAATGTTCTGAACATCCTGACCAATCAGTTTGCCAACTGGAAACGATCTAATTCACAAGAATATTTCAGGTAATGATATTAACTTCATATATTTAATTGACCTAATGGGTTCAGCCAGTTCAGTTCAATTATGACATTCATTTTCTTACATCAGCATAAGTTACAAAAACTGATTTGAACAGATTTTGTTTTAAAAGTTCTAACTTTGATGTGTTCTAACTTTGATGTGTTCTGATTTCTTTTTTAGTTAATATTTTTACAACCTGTTTATGTTTTTTCACTCTCATGATGTTTCCTTGTTGCACACTGAATGGAGTTGCTATTGCTTATGAACACAAGATACCAAAGTGTTATTTTATTGTGTTGACCCCTTGTTTATTGTATTGATGTTTGTTTCTAATTGTAGTTTTTTAACCATGGTAATACATCTAGTAATGAAGAGTGATGTTGGAGGATTTGATGTTCTTAATTTTCTCATTTCTACAGCAATACCTCATATCAAATCAGGTAATTAACCTTGTTATATTAGTTTATACTTCTACCATTTTCAAACAATACGATTGGTTTAAAGTAATAATTATAAAATGAAAAATAAGATAATGAAATTAATTAATCGTATGCAACCCTTGATACACATGAAAAACTAGAGAATAATTTGGAGATCTAATCAAGGCTAATCTGTAATATTTCAGTAGAAATGGTAGGAGATTTACCATGTAGAGATGTACAAGAGACTTGTGTTTATATTATGGTATGTATCATTGTTTTGAAATCTTAAAGTATTTTATTATAACAATGAATTGTATTGTAAGATTTCTTTGTTAAAATTAAACTCTGTTTTCTCTTATAACAAAAATTATGGTCTGTCTACGTGTTGTTAAATCAAAATATGTTTTTTTCTATTCTAGAACCAGTTGTTGAATGAATTGAGACGATTTGTTTATTCAAAAAAACGTGGAGATCAGTCAGCCAATCAGCTGCCTCTATTTGCTGGTTTAAAAGATGATATTGATAGATTTTTAACTTTGATATTAGAGAGCCCAACAGAGAGGTTTGTAACTTTTAAAACTGTATTTGGTAACAAATTGTTATTTACCTGAGTTGATTTTGATGAAGTTTTATTCAGCCTTTGTCTAAATATATATTTTATGTGTATACACTTGGTAATTTGACATAATTTCAATATATTACCGTCTGTGAACGATAAAACCAAAGTTTTGAAGTTATATTAAAATAAGGAAAATTAAATTCAAATATAACTGTCCTGGTGAGGATTTTGTAATCCAAAGATTTTGTGAGCTATAGTCAATAGTCAGTAACAAATCCTTTTTTATTCTAGGTTGCCATGGTTACAGAAGTTATTGCTATATATTTGTGTTTATATTGGTGAATCAAACACTGCTGTTGTTTTGGCCAAAATTGTTGCTATGGCAACCAGTCCTCTCCAGGTATGATTTATTTGGAGAAAATTAACTAAAAAATGTCTATCTTTTTGCTTTCATTGAAAGTCCTGCATTTTCCCCCTGCAAGTAAAATGTTGAAAAAGACTATTGTCAACGCCCTCCTTAGTAATGTGGTACGGGCAACCAATGGCAGTTATAATGGAGAGCTTTTCTCATCTTTATTAGACAGAATACAGAACACAGCATGGAAGATGCTAAACCCCATTTTTGGTTTCCTTGAATTATTGAATATAAGTATTTTTATTGTATTTCAGTTGGGAATATTTGCTAATTTACGATATCAGTTAGAATTAAGTTATCCTAATATAATAGCTAGAGTATGTACTAACTTTATAGATCTGATGCAGCCTCATAAACCATTAAACTTTAAACGTCTGGTTCAAAATATACTCCATCTTATTAAATTAGAGAAGAAATCACATCGGAAAAATAGGTAATTTGATATGCTTTAAACATGTTTGTATTTTTTTTTTTGTATGAAGCATATTGCTGTGTTTTAAAGAAATGCAGTATATGTACACCTATATTTATACATTTAAGTAAAGCAGCTGAGATATTTCAATTTCATTCAGAAGTGAGTTAAGCATTTCAAAATGACACTAGGCTCATAACACAGATTTTAGACCAGGGCCCCTGTTTCAAAAAACTTTGAGTTAAGTGGAACTCATTTGTAAAATATGAACCATGTCTGTCTGTATAATGAGATGTTGTTATTACTATTCTGAATAAATTTAGGATGTTAAACTTTACTTTTGATTTCAGTTCTCAGTTCAGTAATTCTCTACATGAATATTTCCCAGCCTTGTCTAACCTGTTGTTACATCAAGACTATAATGTATCAGAGATAGTTCTACAATTAATAACTCTGATAGAAATACCTCGTGATACCCCTTCATCTCATCTAGCTCAACTCTGTGGTGCAGTTATCTTCTCCTTCTTTAAAGCTCTTCAACAAAAAGGTGAGAAAAAAGTCAATGTTCGATAACAAATATCCCAGATATCCTGATATGCCTTTGGAATAATGTTTCGATTAGAAATTTTTGTAAGCCTAAGATTAGGTTATTTCTCTAGGAATTAAAATTGTTCGTAAACAATATGAAATAAGATGTATACTGTTTATTGCAGAACATCGAGATGAGCTGAAGAATGTACGACATTGTAAACAGTGTATTAAACAACTAACTAAACATTCATTTACTCAGTGTATGTTAGTAAGGTTTCTAATGGAAGGGGCTGTTAATCAGGTTAGCAATTAGTTACAATTCTTCTCTATTCAGACACAAGGAGCAAAATAGTCTCCTCTATCTGAGCTATCAGATTAAAACAATAGAAACATATTTAAAACTGGTAACAAGCAGTGTAAACCTTAGAAATGGTCTATATATCTAACATTGTATTCCATTTATTATTGATTTTGATAATTTTCGTAGGAATACTCCTATTTACTTGGTGCTAGACCTTCACCAGAAACCAAACCTTCCACAGCTGAGATGACTTCACTTCTACAAGAAAACAGACTGCATGGTACCTCTCTTACATTGTCTAGGTCACATTCTAGTGTTTTCCATGCTGGTATAATAGGACAGGGGTTAAAAAAGAGGGAAAATATCACCATGTTACCAAAGGTAAGACACTAAGACCTAACACAAAACTAGAAGAGTTGTGATTGCTGGCTGGTTTTGAGAGCTAGGGATTGAACTGAGCATTGATCAAGTACCTGTGGTTACTCTATTGGTTGGATGTTTGAAGGTAGATACAGAAAACAGATAGGGGATCAGTGGTGTTTCATATGTTCCTTATAAATTTGTTTCAAAAAAAGATTAACCAATGTGCTTGGTTTTGTGGTAGAGGTACAAATAATGCTTATCTCACATTAATAAAGATGTTATGCCTAATATCAGGCTGATGTTTGCACCTTGTTATCTCTTCAAACAAGAGTTTTCTGATCATATTTAATTTAAACCAGGAAATGTGTTACAACACTGGTAATTATTTTATAAATTATTACGAAAAACTCTTAGTGTTGAGCAACTATCTGGTCACTTGGTATTTTGTAGTTGTAAATGATACTTCAAATACCTGTCTTTACATTTATACTTGAAGATAAGTTTGTCAATTATTTATATATTGTTGTAGGAACATGCTACAAGAAATGTCCAGTTATTTATAGAGGTATTATGGTTATGTTGTTTAGAAGTTAAAATAGCTGACAATGATAACTGTCATTTACTAGATGAAGCAACTCATCAACCTAATAGCCCCGAACCAACTTGGCGACGAGATGTAGGGGACATAACTGCTAGAAATATTGGGTGTAACTTGGTAGAGTTAATTACCCTTGATGTACTATATAATGATTTACTGTGGCCAGATGAAGAGTTTAATAAAGTAACTATAGAAAGGTATGACTAAATCAATATTAATATAGTTGAATTTGCCAGTAATTATTGGCTTGATTAATAAAGACTTAACTTTGCAATAAAAGATGGCCAAGACTTTTTTATTTCGGTCTGGTTAGGAGTCTTATTATAGCCTCTATTGAAGTTTTTTCATCTTTAGAATAAGTTATATTTGCATAATCAAACTGAAAGTTTAGGTACAAACTAAGCATCAAATTATTATATAGTATATATGTATAAGGTAAAAAAGGCAGATCGAAAATGAAAAAGGTTTAATGGTACCTTGGATTAATTTGAAATTTGCATTTATTTTTTAATTCCTCTAGAGATTTATATGTGTGGAAAAATATGGAGAAGAACCCTGTTTTCTGGAGTATATTTGAAGCATTTTGTAGTTGTAAGTAGTTTTATTCTTAAAATAAAGACCTACTTGCTATATCACAATCCCAGATGTTTTGAGTAAGGTCATGAGGCTGATCTTTAACTCTGTTATAGATGCTGTTTAATGGGGTGTAATTTGGAAGATTGTTATTGGTGATGTAGTCTTAGTAGAAGGATGAAAACTGACATGTACCTTTCAAAATAACAATCTATACCATATGTTAAACTCTATCAGCTGACAGTCACTGCAAATTATTAATTTCATATACTGTATATTTGCGAATGTAATGCGCACCCCAATTAAATTCAATTAACTGTTTATCATTTCAGATCCTATATTTATCTACCACTGTTCTCCAGTATTAAAATCTATAGCAGCCGTCTTAATGTTACATTATAGCAGTTTTAGAGAAAAATCCATGAAAAATTCACCTAAACATTACTCTGCTGCTTGTAGACTCGTACATTATCTTGGTAGGGTAGGTATTTTTAGTTTGTTCAGTGACATCTTCAGAGTTTTTTGCCAGGAAATTCTATGTTCTGCATCATATCTTTTGCCGTTGGTCCTAAAATCTGGCCTTAGAGTGAGAAATGTCGCATGTTTTTTTACAAAATATCTTGAAATCAATATTTGTTTAATAATTTTTATATTTATTAAAATGGACTTTTGGTGTTTTCTTTATTGAAAATATAGGGAAGAATATAATGGATTATTTATTATCTTGTAATAACTTGTTCGATAATTTCAATCTATCAAATTGAATGTTATTATTTTAATCTTCTTCTTCAGAGTGGTATTCTTCCTGCTCCTTTATCACATATAGGAGAGTTATTCCCCTTTGTTACCCCGTATGAAGGCTATTTATTAATAACAGCAATGTGGAGATATATTAAAGAAAATCCACTGACGTATATGAAGGAAGAAATCAACAGTAGAAGTAAGCACTCTCAAATTTTTTTTTTCATAGAAATAAAATAATTGTTTTTTTTGTTAGTCGTATTTAATGGTTACATTACAATTGTTGCCTTTGTTTCAATGTAAAACAACATTTTTCACGAGACTGGAATACATGCTTATATGGGTAAGAAAGTGTTTGCTACAATTAACATATGAACTTATTAAGGGCCATATTCGTGAATACTATAAGTGACTAAATGAGCCCTTAGATGCTCTTTACTTTGTGTAAATGTGTATACTAATAATCTTGTTTTGCTGAAATACAAACATTTTGATGAATGCATAAATATATGATTAATATATAAAATGTTCTTATGTTGTAGAGTGTAGTGAGAAGTATACTGAAGTTATCGCCTCTATCATACACAGTAATATTGATAAAATGGGACATCTTTACTCCTGTTTCTTCTCTATACCATCCTAACATAGCGTCGGTGAAAGTGACATGTGTAATTGTTTCTTTTCTATAGCAACTTGTACCATTGTTTTCTACTAAATGAGATGATCATAACAATTGTGAAATGAAAAACAAAGTCAAAACAGTTTTATTAAAACTGGAAGATGAACTTTGGAACATGCTAGTTTCCTTGTATACTATCAATATTATAACTAAGTGTGATGTCTCACTGAAAGAGAAATTTTCTATATGCCAGTTTCTTTTTATACAAATTGATATTGAAGTGGTCAGTGTAAACGTGCTTCTGTCTATATTGGTTTCTGCACCACCAGTATGATTTTTGTGAATGTAGAATTATGCTGGTTTCTCAGTGTGCCATAGTAAATTACGAACATTGGTACTTTCCTACCTGACCAGACTAAATGAGTGATCAACTAAATATTAAAAATTCATTATGATTTAAAGTTATTGTGTATGTTTTCAAAAGTGTAGACATTTTGAACAGCCAAATTTACTAAGCGGCTTATTTAACTGTTCAGGGGCCCATACAACATCAATAAGAATCAGTGTTGTTGCGAATAGCAACAGAACGGACCACTAAAGTGGATTTCACTGGTTTCCAAATAAAATAGAATGGAAATGACTAATAAGTTATAGTCTTCTGTAACACATCTTTTCCAATCATCTTATTATATTGAATCAATAATCGATGTTTACATTCAACCCCCTTACCACGCTGAATGGCTAAAAGGCCCAGTATCTGAAGGCCTTAGGCAAACAGGCCATTGGTCGTGACGGTCGGCGAATTTAACTGGTAAATGTTGGCAGCAGATTGACTTGTCACCATTTGTCCAAAGTCAAATATAGTACTCTCGACTCTTGTAGCTGCAGTTTTATTACTATCACTATTTTTCTTCAACCTTTTGAGTTTTGATGATAAAGGATCCAGGGTTTTAAATTCACTGTTCATCTGAGCATGTCGTATACCACCACTACATGATATATGTTTTACTAATATAAATATGAAGACATCTTGGATCATGAGAGACCTTATATTACAACAAAACACACACATAGATTATAATATGATAACAAAACAACTGATAAACTACTAAACAATTTAACAAAAAATAAAAAAGCACTTGATGTTAACTCAGAGCCAGGTCTGTGAAATACAGTGACACCCCTAAATCATTGTACTTAGGGCAAATAATCCTCATAATTCTAATCAGAGGCAGTAAAGTAGAACGTAAATCTGTTTTAATTTCATCACGCGTTCTGAACAACATTTTCTCCGTAGGCCTACTATAGCACCGTGTCTTGAGCACTACATAAAGCTTGTTCCTTGTTTAAAGGAAAAGGTTCCATCCGTTTGACCAATCGTACGTTGGCCTCAGAAAGGAGGAATTGTTGTTTAGCTAAGCTAATCGGTGATAGTATTTACAGCCACTGTCAACATTTCAGCCTTCAAATCATCTGTGTCCGGAATTATCCGCGTTTGAATGTTAAAAAGACGACTTGACTTTTCTTGACAAGAAATTAAATTCTAGACCCGAGTCACCTCTGAAAATGACGAATCTGTCTCTTTAAGAGGACATAAAAACGGATACTTTATGTATACAAAACAGAGTATACATAACAATGCTGAGATCTGTCGGAAGTTTGGCACAAACTTATATCACAGTTATTTGCATAAATTGCATAGAATCAAAATCTCAAAGAAATGCTTTGGAGAAAAGTAGCACGTAAAACTCCATTCACTTCATTTCATTTCGAAGAAATGCTAACAAAAATTGCAATCACAAGGGTATACATGTATTACAATCATTGGAAATCTAATTATTATAACAATGCCAATAGTAACACTGAAATACTATTGCAGAGGTACATATCATTTTCAAAGATGAATTTGCAATTGTCAAGATAAATCACAATTATCGCAATATTTCACTATCGACTCTAACATTGTCATAAAATTGATATTTGCCAAGTTTAATTGCTAGTATTGACAAGTTATATCAAAATAATGAAGTACAAATTCTCTGTTGAATTACCAATGGGAAGTCACATTACAACAATACCATTGCTTTGATTAATTACAATTTACATTTAAATAAAGCAAGGCTGCATTATACAAAACCACTAGGCATTGCTATACGTACGAAAGTATTCGAAGGTATAACGAATAGCGTGGCAATTTACACATATTTGTATTTGTGTAGATTTTAAAGTAGCCTACCAAAGTAGTTTTAGTGTCACAGTTCTGGTACTTAGTGAATCCTGCAAGTTAACGAACGTAGTAGGCTTAGCATGTTTGCTTTTAAAGCCTTATATCATGTTATAATTAAACCATGTTCTGTTTATTCATGGTAAAACATATCTCCATTATGATGCAGAGATTTGAAATATCAATATCAGTCAAAAAAAGGTCAAGGTAAACTTCGACCATGGGTCAAGGTCTGCATTATACAAAGGTCAAGGTCTGCTTCAAACAATGTCCTGGTTTACAGGCCAAATATCAAGGTCATGGTCGGATCCAAAGGTCATTCAAGTCTCAGCGCTTCTAGTTTTTATGTCCAGACGTGTCCGCGGTTGATAATGACGCTTATGTTTTGACATCATGAAGGCAGACACTTTTTTCTGCTGTAAAGTCAGATATTCCTTCCGTAAACTTTGTCCGTATAAATCATGAAGTGTGGACTCGGTCAGGTTTGAAGATGAGAATTGTGGGAAGATCGTTGTTCGTTGTGGTGGTTGACGTTTGGTTAATAGCGTCTTTTTTTCTTCCTCATCCAGTGCTTGTCGTTTATTAAACGCTTCAATATTCTCTTTACAGTAATCAATAAAGTTCTGCATCATTTCAAGTTTATCGTTTGATGGAAATTTCTTCTTGGCTAATTCGTGACAGGCGTCGACAAAACCATTGAAGTTTAAACCTGAAATAGATAGATTAAGGTGTTGTATTATCATCCTACGCATTTACTAGCCTGGAAACAATGGATAAAGAAACCTGAACTGCTCTTAAATTGTGTATATTGTAACTCTATTGTCAACTGCGACATTTTAGAAATTTTGTAGAGATATTTTTCATATATTATCAAGTAACACATTCTAACATGCAAACGCCCCAATTTAACAAAAAACAAACAATGGCATGAAAAGGGTCCGGGCTGAATTATAAGTACCTGAAAGCCATATAAAAAGCCACACCCATTCCTCAAAACATCCCAAAAAACGAAATCCAACAACAGCTCATTGTAACGTATCAACCAATCTTATTAAAATACAGATCTACACATTGTATCGCTACACGATTTTCATTACTATCCTCGTAATGGTTGGTGAAGTCGTCAATAGAAAAATGTAACGTAACATCTAGATCTGTACTTTAATCAGATAGAATATCTACTGACTACTGACATTGAAGGACAAACAAGCCAAAATTAAGAAACCAAAATAGCTATATTAAAGACTTTGCAACTGAAAGGTGGAGATTAGAAAATGGGAATTTTTAAAAAAGAATAAAGTGGTCTTAATATCCCCAACATTAAAATCCATTGTAGGATTCAATAAGGATGTAGCCTTGTTGTGCAGATTCCAGGTTCTTGGGTAGTCCTTAGATGTTCAGTTAGGCTTTAGATTTAATGTTAGAAATTTAGTAAGACTGTATTTATTTAGACGTGTCCATTGATGAAAATAAAAAGGATTGTTATACATTTGAATCTGACTCCAATTCATTGGGAAGAAGGAAAACCGCAGACAAGGCTTCAAGGATGAAATAAAACGATCTGTTCGAACCAGCTGAATTGTTTTAGAATTACCAGTATCCTGCTCTCATATCAAACTTAAAAATGCATCATGGTGGAAAAATCATTGAAGACTAATTCTTATAAATATAAGCAGTGAACTTCATTTCAGAGGTATAATCCAAGCATAGCTTACAACAAAACAGGTGACTCATAGCTAAAAACAAAACAAGTGACTCTTGGCGAATAACTTAAATACTCAAAGCTAAAAACAAAATAGGTGACTCTTAGGTAGGAGTTTATATACCTTCGTTAGGAGGTTTATGATACGGGGATGACGTCATTGGTTTATCTTTAAGTCCTGTCAAAATATCAATCATTTGTTATATTTTATATTGGGCTTTATTATAATATGCCAAAATGTCAAGCTTACGCCAAAATTAAGAATTCAATTACACAGTGTGACAACAAGGTGCAGCAGAACCTACAAGGCCAACGAAATATTATTCTTTTTAATTTTCGCTTTGGCTTGCTGGAAAGGCTCTAAAGTTTTCCTTTAGCTAAATTTTTAAAAATATTTAATAACTTAAATGCTCCTAGCTAAAAACAAAACAGGTGATTCTTTGCTAACAGTAATTCGGGTGAGGTGTAAATACCTTCGTTAGGAGGTTTATAATATGGAGATGACGTCACTGGTTTATCTTTATATCCTGTTAAAATATCAATAATTTGTTAAATTTTGTATTGGGCATTATAGACGATACTCATCTATAGAAGCGCTGGACATAATTTTATAATCTCTTCACAAATTAAATTTCTTTTACTCCCAAGTGTCCAAAAGGGAAATAAAATAAATAGAAATTACATTTTGTATAAAATACACATCCCACGCCCATTTTATATTATTATGACTAAACTGGTCTCAAAATGTCTTGCCATACAGAATTTCCAAAACAGTTACCTGTGGTTTTATCGTGGTTAAAATGTTCCCACTTTCTCTGTACATCAATATAAATGATATCTACTGTAGCATTGGTTATTCCTTTACTTATTATCTTACTTTTCCTGCAATTATAAAAAATCCTTTTGGTCTTAAGACGCAAATATATAATAAACGATTTGTCAAACCTACTCACAGAGCGCATAAGCAAAAACATGGATTAACTTCTCCTGACTGAAAAACAAGAACCAATGGACATGTTAAGCTGTAATGGACTGAAATGTATAAACGTTATCTGAACTAGTATAGCGGGATTGGTGAATTAGAAAACTGTTACAGAGTAGTAGCATGCGATCTGAAATTATACTGTTTGAACAAAGCACTTGTTTGTTCATCAATGGCTATTGCTAACGAACCTGGTACAATGAACATTCAATGTGTTTGAACATTATCTGAACTAGCAGGTGTTCTACACGTATGGGCTATCAGTAGGCTATCATAGTGTATTTAAACGAAAGAAATAAACAACTATATTTTACAAGGATAACAACTTAGGTCCTTGGCCAAAACCTCTTGGCATTGATCTTTCTCGGATTATCCGTCGCCATTTACAAATGGGTCGACTGGAATTATGATTGAAGATGACTTATTCAAGGTCACCGGACATTCAAATGGAAGTCTACTTCATCGAGAAATAGCTCATTCGTCAATGACTATGGGATTCAATCGTTTGAACTGACCTTGTAAAAAGTCTAAAAGCTGAGGATGTCAGACGAGATGAGCCCCGGACACTAAGACACGACATGAACATATTGGACAGGATTTCCATTATATGTAGATGTTGACACTCGGCTCCATAAATACTGGGAAAAATCTCTTTTAAACACGATTCTTCATATTCCTCATTATTCCCTTGTTCATTAGAATCACCGTTGGTTATATTTGATTCTTCATTATCATTAGCTTCTTCTGATTCTTCATTTTCATTGGTCACGTCTGCTTCCTCACTGGTATTTGATTGGTCACTATCATTGCTACTGTCCACTACTGAATTGTCATTGGTCGAATTGGAATTTGATTCACTGTGATTTGATATATTCTCACTATTGTCACTGGATGATTCGATTTTATCTTCATTATGATTGGATGAAACACTATTTAATCTATTTTGATTGGCTGTTTGATCGTCCCGTGATCCTTCCATATCATTAGAACTGTAGGTATGATTGATGTCGAATCTCAGCAAGCGTTCTGAGATATCTTGAGTTTCACTCATAATCACTAATGCTGTCGGTTGATTGGTTAATAAGCCTACTGGTTCCGGTTTAGACATAGTTTTTTTTCGCTTTCTTTTACGCCTTCTGGAATAAAACAACATGATTTTCGGTGAATACTCTGTTATTGCATGAAGACATCTTAACAATTGTTCAGCTAGAAGAGGTTATATTACTAAACTTATTTATCCAAGAAGTGGCTATAAAACTGAGCTGAATTATAGATTTGATTGTATCCTGTACTTCAATCAAACTTAGAAATATATCAAGGCTCTGTTCAATAAAATCGGCTAGGTAAGGTAAACATGAAATAAATCTATCGCTGAAGTAGCATTAAAACTGTTATTATTTAAAAAAAATTAACATAGGGTTGATGGTATAATCCTGCTCTCAAATCAAACTTGGTTAATTCTGAAACGACTACCTACCTATGAGTATATTTCTGAGGTGGCGCCACCAACATAAGAGTATCTTGAATTAAGGGACGTTTAACTTCTTCATCTTTCAGTGATAAAACGTATCCCATGATTCCCGGAGACACTTCCTGTTCACAGTCGATACGTAAACTGGGGTTAGAGTTGACCTCTAATAACATTGGCTTTAAATCTTTTAAAATCAAAATATCAAACCCGAATATCTAAAAAGGAGCAAAAGGATACATTATTTAACATCTTCTGGAAGTTTAGAACATCACCATATACTTCATTAGACACGTGACACTTATTTTAACAACTGAAAGATATATATACCTAAAGCATCACCTTACTGTGTATGCACCAGATGTAATTCTCGTTTATAAATCAAACTGATATATATTTTGGACATTCATTAAGCAAGCCCATAAGCGATACCCTCTTATAACGACTTTCCACCAATTCAATTTCTGCTTTACGATCATTTGAATGGTTAGATGCACTTGGATAATAATTAATAAAAATTATCAGCATAATAATGACAGTTAATGATCAGTTTTGACTCATTTCGGAAAGGTTACTAGTCTGAAAGACAAGGCAACTAAACACAGTTCTTTAAAAATTGAGCACATGGCACAATTTGCACGTGTCGTCATCAGATGAAATGATTAGAGAATAAGCATAACATTATATAGAGATAAAATAGAGAGATACTTAGATAATAATAATTCAATATAACATACCTGAAAACAAGAGGGACCAGATTTACTGTTAGGTATATGAGAATTATATTCCACTTGTAAATCACCAATAACAGCCAGTATAGTTTTACAGACAATTAATTCTATTTCACTCCAGAGTTTCTCACAATTATACCCTTTCTTCTCTAACACTTTAAAAACTTGAGTTAACTTCCTTTTACTTCCTTCATTCTCTTTCTGAGATTTATCAAACGTGCTGCTTTTTTTATTCAACGAATAGTTCGTCAAGTGCATGAAAGATTCATGGATATTTTTCGCGTTGGGTTGTTCGTAAGGTATAGTAGAAAATCTTGCTAGCCCTTCTTTACATATATAAATAACTAAAGGATTTATACTTTTTATAACGACGTACACCCGAAGATCAAATTTATAATCGTTAATGAGCAAAACATCAGTAAGGTATTCCTGTATCACATGTTTACGAACCCCTTGTTGGGTATATTGCGAAGGGTCGCGTAATAGATAGATTCCCTCCCCTTGTGAACCTTCACTGGGTTTCACTATAAACGTAGGTTTATGTTTGGCCTTTTTATCTGTCATATATTTAAATGAAGCGTTGAACTGATACTGTTGTTGTGGAAGGAACCAGGTTCGTGGGTAGAAATCGTAATCCTCCGGAAACCAGGATTTCATCATGTCTAAAGTTCGGAATAAATTACTCTTACTGAAAATCTCCAATGTACCTGAAAAAGTTAAGACGAAAACTGTTAAACCCTTAGAATTTCTCGTAATCTTTGTACATTCTCTCCTGGTACACTAGAAGAATCAAATGGCACAACGAAACCCCTACATGAATATGTTATTGTGTTTAAGGATCAGGAGATCCACCAGAATCCAGAATCAATTTGGCACATAAGTTTCAATTACAGCAAAAAGTTTTGAAAATTGTCTCAGAAGCTTCTCGGTACCTCCTGCAGTGCTCACAGGTACCCCAAGGTACAGTAGGTTTGGAACCAGTGCTTTCATTTGTAAAGATAACGACAGTGATAATGGTAATACTAATGATGATTATGCTTCTGATTCTGCTTCTGCTGCTGATGATGGTAGTGGTGGTAGTGATGATGATGATGATGATGATGATGATGATGATTTTTGATCTTCAAATTATTTCAATCGCTTCAGCTAATAATAGGTACCAATTATAAACAGAGATCGAGTATTGCGTTTTGCATGTACAATCAAATTATTTATTCATATTTATTTTGGTTTCCCCTTTCCCCCAATCGGGATGTTTTTGAGTTTTGGGCATTAAAATTAGATAGACATTTATTGATGAATTATTTATTGAAATCAACAGGAAATATAAAGATAGGTTAAGACAAATCAGGCAGAAAGACAGATTTAGATAGTCCTACACAATAAATGTATATTATATTATTGACAAATAAATATACATGTATATATACAATTATAGACAATAAAATTATATTATTGATACGATCATTCCATTAGTAATTCTCCAGAGACATTTAACATCTAATTTTAATTTCCTGTTTTTCTTTTTATTTTTATTTTACCGTATTCATTACTTTCCTGTTAGAAAAGGTTAAGTCCAAAGGCCTTACCCTTGAAAACTTCACTAAAGGTGCGGACACACGAGCTGTCTTGGTCGGAGATTTTTGTCGTCGATTACATCCTTGAGTAAAATCTCGTGTGTGCCTGTGCTTTCCCGATTTTGATAATTGTCCTCGATAATTTTATCGTCTGCAAGACAGACCGTCATCATCCAATAAGATTAATTTTTAATTGCATAACCCGCATGTTATTATCGACCCGGTGGGGGCAACTAAAAAAGCCGGAGGGGCAATGCCCTTGCCCCCCTCTAGCAACAGACCTGGTGTCACATGCTGAACGTATAAGTATTAATTTGTTAATAATCTAAGAGACAATTATACGATTTTATAACTCTCTGTGTGTACATGTTTGACCTATAGAACAGCAAAAAGGTAAAATGATTGAAAATGCCCCATAGCTAAGGCGTGGAGGAAACAAACAAGTATTATAAATCAGCACGATCAATATAGATACCATGTTATTTTATTGGTTAAATATGGTTGCACCGTATACAGTTGACATATCCAATAAAGATTTTAAGAATGAATAGATTGAATAAAATAATAAAGGACTCAGTTGTTATAGAGTTAGATAGTAAATAACTAGTGGGTTGAGTAGTTGTACGGTCTTTATAAATTCTAGGGTGGAGTTACATAAAACATTTTTATGATGCCTTTGTCTACAACTTAAATAGAATTCTTGGATTTGAGTCTATATTTTATAATCATTGCAAGAAGGCATACATTTCAATTTCTTGTACAAAGGAAGTAACACAGATATACCATGACCACATTACCCTATATAGGGTTCATTGAGATTATTGCTGGAATTATCTGCTTTTAGAATATAACTCCCATGTCCTATTCATTAAGAATTGATAACGATATGACAACTCAAGTCTCTAATAAAACGTTTAAATTAGTTGATGCAGAAAGCAACGCTGATGTTCATGTACTGAAAATGTAACAGGGAAGTGGGCGTATTTTGCATGGTAACCACTTGATAAAGGTACAACAATTATGTAAAAAATTCACAATGGGTGGAACTGAATTGTTTATCATGACAACAGGGACCACACCTCAGACCAACATGTCTGACTGGATGATTGGAGATAAGTAATAAATAGACAGGATTAAATATTTAACTTCTTGCTGTTGATAGAAATTTTCAATACATTATTTAGCTCATATTGTTGCCAATAGTACATTTACACATTTTGCTGTTACATAAGGTCTTTAATTTATAGTTGGTCGAACTTGAGACGACTTATTGATCATAGAAACGGAATGATAGGGTAAATGTAATGTATAATTTGGATCATCAGGGCAGTGGTGGCGCCAGCACAAACTATCGCGGCTGAATTCAACATATTGCAACCTATCTGGGCTGAGTCTGGACAAAGTACGGTTCATTTCAAGCGGGCCAATTTTTATGGATTTTAAACGCGGCTGTAGTCGAAAGCCTTTCATTGAGTGTCTGAGAGGGTTCTCCCGAGAAAATTTCCGAAAAGCATCGGAACATTCCGACACATAATTTGGTTCAGAAGCATATAAAAATCATATTGCATAAGAATAAAGTGGACTTACAATTTTAGAAATGACACTACTTTAGCTATAAATAATTTTTTTTTGCTCTATTCTTTTTATATTAAATTTTAAAGTACACAGAAAAAGAATGTTGTTTTACTGAATTATTCAATAACTGAGATTCCGTGTGGTAAATCAAAGAAAAACCAATCAGACTAGCGGGAGTGTAGAAATCATGAATATTTTATCAGGTTGAAATCAGTGTTCAAATTAAAGCTTAAAGACACCTCCTAGACACCAAACTGGCAAAAAAAAAAATACAGTTTGTTTTCCAATGTAATTAATAAGATAAGGTGTTGGGTGACTTTGCTCAAATGAAAAAAAATGCATAAAAATAAGGCGGACGGCATTTGAAAATATCTCAATATAAAGTAATAGCTAACGATAATCTGAATTATAATGGTAAAATCATCGGTATACCTACTGGCGTTTGGCGATATTTGATATAAAATTATACAACAAAACGGACAGATTCGCTATCCGCTTGACCAAATGTACTTAAGTCTCAGAAACAGAATTGTTTACACAAGCTTATCAATAATGGGTTTCACAGCTCATCGTCCAAATCCATTTATGCCTAGAATTATCCGCGTTTGAAAGTTAAAATAAAAAAAAATACAGAAAGTGAAATTCCTAGTTTGAGATATTTTTGAAGGAGTTATACGAGTTTTGTACATTTTTATTACTTTAGAAGACTCGGTACAGATGTTCAAGACAGAATTTGAAGAATGCTCTGATCCTTGGAAATATATAAACGATCAGTGACGATTGTGTGGATTAAATGTGGCACACATCTTAGATTTAAATCTGCGATATTTCTATACCTTCAGTACGCCGTAAATTATCTATAGAGTTAAGTTCTAAACCATATATATTGTTTCTTGAGGGCTCTTGGTGTTATATTTATTTTATTGAACTCTTCAAAAATCATGAAATATATTGAACTATATCCTTATATTCTTATTTTCCCTTTAAATATTCAATAATAATAGAAGAGTAACTCATAATATGAAGAAACCATAAAATAGGGAGGGGTAACAGAAGTATTGTTTTATTTGTTTTATATCCATCCTCCATTCCGAATCAAAATTGATCTTATACATACATTTCATACATTTAAAATCTGATTTCATATTAGCTCTTTCATCCACTCAGAGCTTAGTTTTTATCTTAGATTTTTCATACATTCAGAGCTGAGTTTTATGTTAGGTTTTTCATACATTCAGAGCTGAATGTCATATTAGCTCTTTCATAAATCCACAGCTTAGTCTTATATCAGCTCTTTCATACATTCAGAGTTTAGCCCTTTCATATATTCAGAGCTTAGTTTTCTATTAGCTCTTTCATATATTCAGAGTCTAGTTTGATATCAGCTCTTTCACACAATCAGAGACTAGTTTATTATCAGCTCTTTCACACATTCAGAGCTTAGTTTTACATATGTTCACACATACATTCAGAGCTTAGTTTTATATTAGCTCTTTCATACATTCAGATCTCAGTCTTATATCAGCTCTTTCATACATTCAGAGCTTAGTTTTATATTAGCGCTTTCACACATTCAGAGCTTAGTTTTATATTAGCTCTTTCATACATTCAGAGCTTAGTTTTATATTAGCGCTTTCATACATTCAGAACTTATTTTTATATTAGCTCTCGCATACATTCAAAACTTAGTTTTATATTAGCTCTCGCATACTTTCAGAGCCTACTTTTATATCAGCTCTTTCATACATTCAGAGCTTAGTTTTACATATGTTCACGCATTCAGAGCTAAGTTTTATATTAGCGCTTTCATAGATTCAGATCACAGTTTTATATCAGCTCTTTCATACATTCAGAGCTTAGTTTTATATTAGCTCTTTCACACATTCAGAACTTAGTTTTATATTAGCTCTTTCACACATTCAGAACTTAGTTTTATATCAGCTCTTTCATACATTCAGAGCTTAGTTTTATATTAGCGCTTTCACACATTCAGAACTTAGTTTTATATTAGCTCTTTCACACATTCAGAACTTAGTTTTATATTAGCTCTTTCACACATTCAGAACTTAGTTTTATATTAGCTCTTTCACACATTCAGAACTTAGTTTTATATCAGCTCTTTCATACATTCAGAGCTTAGTTTTATATTAGCTCTTTCATACATTCAGAACTTAGTTTTATATTAGCTCTTTCATACATTCTGAGCCTAGTTCTATATCAGGCCTTCATGCATTCAGAGTAGGCGTTATATTAGCCACCAATTCTATTCAGAGTCTGGTATATATAAGCTATCACAAACATTCAGAATCTGTTATATTTTAGCTCGATATTCATATCAATATTTCACTTTATGTAGCCGATATGAAGTTGTGTATATAACAATGTTTATTTATTTTAATCCACAAAACCATTGGGCGCACATGCCCATTATGAAATAAATTACATAACGATATGAAATACACACCAATATAGATAAGATTATTATATAATGGTTATGATTTGATATACCAATATAAAAATAAAAAACAATCACTGCACATTTATAGGTTTATAGATAAGAATATTATATATTTGTAATGGTTTGATATATGAAAAGTTCATTTGCAGCAACCAATGTATTTCCATTATCAGTAGCGTATTTAGGGGGAGGCCCATCAGGCCATTTGAAATCCGTTGGCTTTTGGGGCCCTCCCGAAACCCCCAGTCCCCCGAGGTTGGCATCGGAGAGGGACATTTTATTTTTGGTCTCCTATCGGGCATTAACTAGATACACCCCTAACCACAATGTTTTGAATTTCAAGTTTCGGTTTGTGGTTCGAATCGTTATTACTTTTTTTAAATTATACTATAAAACACTCACCTGGAAGTTTGTTGACGCATCCTGAATGTAAATCAGACGTCTCGTTAAAATTTATTGCATTCCAAAATATATCACAGTTATTTTCTTTACGACCATAGGGAAACTGAAAGTAAAGGTGTACAATGGTGTATTAGGAAACCACATTCTCATGTAACAATTTCAAAATTTCAATAAAAAGTCAAATTAACTCCCAATCCCACCCAGTCACTTCAAACGATTTGTGCAAATTTAAATCATTATTTTTTTTTATTCTTTTATTTAAAATAAATTGGGTGACAATTGGATTTGATTCTAAAATCTATACAATTTACATGTACATGTAAGTCCAGTAGTCCACTGATAAATTGACATGAAGTAGTAACCTTACCCTTGTTACATATCTAGAACTCTTGTATCATTGTTACTTTATAGGTAAACTTTTTGATGGATATAGGCCTATATAAGTTTAAAGTTTTCCATAATGCATTTTTACCAAACCAAACCAAACCAACGACTACCATTCGACTACCAATCAACAAGAAATACCATGATCAGAACGAGTTTGGAAGAATGAAGGAGACCGAGTAACTCACGCCACACCATCCAGGGCCGAGTTTCGCCGCCATGTCATTCGACCCGACCAGATCTAACGAAGAATCAACAACCAAACCAACAACACCGAATCATCCAATTTGATCCAATCCAACTACCAACTACTACGACTACCAACAACTACCTAGTTTGCGATATCAGCATCCGCTGGAAGCGAACGTTAACTTGTCATCTAGTTACCATAATGCATTAATACAAATACTCATGCAGAGCCTAGTTGTTATGCAAAACAACTGATAAATAAGCATTAAAGTCACATTAGTTAGCATAAAGTATTTACCCTAGCCTTGTCACATATCTTGAACTAACATTACCCCTCTTGTTTATTATTAATTTATGGGTGAACTTTTTGAAATATAACTTTTCCATAATGCATTAATACAAGTACTGTTGAAGAGCCTAGCTGTTATGTAAAAATGATTAATCAGCATTAAATACCCCTGTCATATTATTTAGTTCATGGATGAAGGTATTTACGGATACATTTAGGTTTTTCATGTGGTTTAAAAAAGTATACGGCCGTTTATAATCGTTACACCTACCTCTCTCCACCTTAGATCCTGAACACATTTTCTCACCACGTCTATATTGGAGCGACATTTAGACGTATCTATAGTAACAGAGTCTTTATCTACCGGTGGAATTTCAGATTCTGATTGAAGGCGTAAGAAACTAGGACTACCAATAAGTCCTTTAGTTCGTTTATTTCTGTCTACTGTCACTGGCACGTATTTATCAGAATTCTTCACCACTGTCTTGGAATCGTTGCCATTGTTTCTATTGATGTTGGAACTAGTTCTGTTTTTAGAAGAATTTCCATTGCTGGAATTGGTGGTGATGACCACTGCTTGTTTCTTCTCTGTTTTGGTCATTTTGGGATGTTGCAAGAAACTTGTTACTTCATTATTTTTATCAAAACTCCATCATAAATGCTGCCATCCTGTAACTCTTGATTTCTCTTCGAATAACGAAAATGTCGTTGATTTGTACACCCAATGGCCTTTCCGTATGCTTAGCTAATGCAGGTGATGATTCAGGAAGAATACTTTAACATAATACCTAAAAACTTTGTATTATTACACTGCTTGCTGAGATTCCATCCAAAAACTGATCAAGTCTCTTTACCTTACTGGTTTAAAGCGTCTTTAAAAGCTTATTCAACAATTTATAACAATGCAAATGAAATGTCATCAGATCTTTCTGTTCACTTGATAGTTTACCTTTTAATCCTAGATGATATATTTCAACAACCATAACCCAACATAGTAATCTCTATAAGTTATATCTAACATATCAACTAACTATAAACAATAATAAACACAACCGGTATGTAATTATCACGATCATTAATCATTAGGTGTCAATATCCACACTTAATAACAGGTGGGTGCTTACACTGCAGTCCGCGTCATAACACTACACAAGCGTCTTCTCTGCAGTCCGTGTCTTTATATAGGATAAGAATGTCATTGTGTCCAGTTCATCAGGTCCAGTCTATAACTATGCTAAACCATTTCAACTATAGAAATTTCAACTGTTATACGATTCACTGATTACCAATATGAAGTCAATAACAGTGCCTTTTGTTGGTAATGTACTATTATCAATATTACACCACACGATCTTTGTTTACTATGGATACGAACTTTGACCTATTCACTATAACATGGTATTTTTCTCATTCAATGTACTTCGTATATTACAGCAGGTAATCAATGCTATAATCAAGCTAATTTTACATTGACTGTTGAGGTAATGTCGATAATAACGAAATAAACTTCTGTCGTTGAGTTAAGACGAACCGTACAAATAACCATGAAATGATGTTTGGCTTTTCATTTAAGATATCTGCAAATACAGTGGTATAAATTAAAAAAGAATAGATAAATGTCGGTTTAAAGAGCTAATTTTTTCTAGATTTGTGTCACTGTAACTGTAGTACGGACGGAAGAAAAAGTTTAAATTATCTGAATTTCAATTTAAAGGGACATTTGCACTACTTTTTTTTATCAATCAGGAATTTTTGGTAGCTAAGCCAATCAGTAATAGTGTTTACAGCTCACCGTCAAAATTTGAGCCTTCAATTGCATGTCTGTCCAGAATTATTCGCGGTTAAATGTCAAATTGGCGACTCGTCATTTTCAGATACTCTGTGATAGTAGAGAAGACTTATATAGAAATAATGAGTAAAAGTCCTAGTTTGAAATATATTTAAGGGAATTATGCGATTACCTTACATTTCTGATACTTCTGAAGACTATTTACAAATATTCATTCGACACTCACATCAACCCCCAAGTAGCTGTCTCGTTAATATAACAATATTATTTCTCCCAGAATGAATGAGATCTTATATTGGCCGACTGTGAAAGGTTAATCTCAGAATCTTGTTATGACCCGGTTTAACACTTTCTCTATACTAAAAACATATTGTAATTATATTGTAATCAGCTCAGTGACCAACACTAATTATAATCTAGATTAATCTTTGGTCCAATATGTATATCTCATGATCATTTTATCAAAAACTTACGGTGTTCGTCTGTTTTCATCTAGTCATTTAGTCATTTCATTTTTCACCGTGCCAAGGCGTTATACAGCCCGTTTTGATGCTTTGAAGCTCTTGAACACATGTCGTTTGTGCATCTCTGACACTTATGATCGAGTTGGTCGGTAGATAGCAAGTTAACGTCTGCTCCCAGAAGCTGTCATCGCAGATTGTGCTCTAGAGGCAACATTTTTGTAAGAGCATTGTCCATTAGTACCGCTGCAATACCCATTTATAATACCCTGTTATAACTAAAACAATTCAAAGCCTATCATCTAGATCATATTGGCTGTATTCATCTATAAGTTTAATGGATGATTTCATGTGAATGGTTCGTTTATCTTGGATGTTTGCACAGGAATTCGGCATGTCTACTGACAGAGTCAGAATTTCTTGAATTTGATGATATTCATTGCAGCGATATTTTAGTACTATTTTCCAATGTAAACTTATTGTAGGATATGAAACACGTTTCTTTTGTACAGTAGAATCTTCAGGCTATTTCCATGTCAGTTCCCCGACCTGTGTCACAAACAGGGGGGAAAAAGTCTGATGCCAGTCTTATGACCTATACCGCTTAGAACATCGGATACACGAGCTGAAATCGTTAAACCAACGATGCTTTTATGCAAGGTAGTAATTCAAAAATTTATAATATATTTTATTTAAAACCGTTTTAATATATCAATCACACTTTTGGCATGGTATTGGCCATAATCTTCGCTATAAACTGCAAAATAAATAAATAAATACCAACACTCAAATCATAAGTTTAGATAAGCAGATACGCAAACTTTTCAAGTACTTTGGCAGTCATTGCGTTTGCAAAACTCTATTTTGATGGCGTTTCTGGATGATCTGTGCTCTTTTGCAAAGGTTGATCAACTATGCAACTTAAAGACAATCCTTCCACGTTTCCATTTTAAAAAATTTTGTTCATCATTTAAATACCTTAGAGTACTCCAGAACAAACTCGTCTTGAGTCACCTGACCATTATTATCACTATCAAACATATTCACAGCAAATTTTACATCAAAATCATCCAAACTGTTGTTATGGTTGGCGTCTATAGCGTGGAAAATGGGTCCCATGGTGGCCACATCAGAGTGAACAGCGGCGGCATATTCTTCTAATGTTATTTTACCATCCTCTATAAGCAAAACCGTCAAACTGTTTAAGACGGCATTGGCCCCACTCTTGTAACTTATTTTGCCCTTTAGTCCAAGGGCAATACCAGAAGACACAAAATGTTGGCATTACAGTCAGCTGTCTGGGTTACAGATTTACAACGGATATCTCAGAGGCTTTCAGTGGCTATTCTTTGCTACCCCAGGGGAAGAACCAGATTTTAGAGTGCTTAGAATACGACAGATTGTGTTTCCGTGGGATTGAAACAAAAACAATGCAGAGCACAATAACTGCTGCAATGTCGTGGATGTGCCACAAAATAATTGAAAAACTTGGATATTAAAAATGATTCGTCGCTTAATTACTGTTACATTGCAATGATTCTGTGGATAGTTCACCATTGATATTCAACAAAGTCATCGAAGCATCAAGGTGAATACTTACGATTGGCATCAAAACCTTTAACTAAAACTTGAAACTCTCCGAATTCCGCGATTCCATTTCCATTAGCATCTATTGTTTTAAAGGATTGCTTCAGTCTTTCTTTAACATCTATTGGTGCTCTGTTAAAATACATGTAGTAAGTTAATGTAGATTGTACTTATCGTTATAAGAGTGGCTTGCTCTAGTCTCGACAGTAAAACTCCATTCATTTCATTTCATTTCTTATCGTTATGTATTGATGTAGGAGACGAGACGTGTCTACCCAATCACTATAGCTGTTGGATGTTTTTAGTTGTGTTTACTATTCGGCAGAAACCGACTCACAAAACAAAAGCAATTAACGAGGTTATCTATTTATAGGCATTAAGAGCTGTTGAAAATAAAACCATTGATAAACATAATAAAATTATACTAACTGTGTTGGTGCTGCATTAACAGCAACTGCTACTGAACAGATTACTAAAGCTAAGACAAACATCTTCGACCTAGATAAAACAATACCAGCAGTCAGCAACTTTGAAGGAAATTTGTTACAAATGGTGATTATTTCAAACGATCAAACCTATCTGGTAAGCATTCGGCAATATTCGGCAGTTTCCGTATAACAGAATCTGCTGCATAGCGCTAGCAAAACTTTCACAATAGACTGTTTGTCTGGTGAGCACATCCTCTAGAGGTTGTAGATTTTGTTGATTGTTCTCAAACCAACATTATTGCTACCTACCTCTTAAACAGTCACGACTAGAAATGTTTGGTCACTCTATTTCCTTATCTTTATATGATCTGTATGATAAGGATATCTGGACTTGGTGAACCTTCGTGATTCATCAGATTTGAACTAGGTATACGGCCAGAAAACCAGGGACATATATATAAGTATCCTAATAGTAAAATAAAATACAACCAAGACAGTTGCATTTCTATAAATCATTAAGCTAGGAATTGTCAAAGGGGGCTTGCAGACAACTATGTTCCTATCTTACATGATAAGAAAATAAATGAAATATGAGTTATGATGGAGGGCAAAGCCGCACCAGTTTCATTTCTCTGGACCCTAGAAACGCCACCGGACCAAGCGCAAGCAATGACAAAATAAATGAGGTGAGATGTGTCCTTCAAGACTCTTTGGTGGTGTTAGAAATTATAAAGATGTAATGTCATGTAAAAAACGCTGGTCTCAGATCAGCCAATGGATTTCCTGGCACAACGTAAGTTTTTGGTGGTCAGAAAAGGTAAATCATACTTGTTTCATGATTAACTTTTGTTTCGTTTTGGTAAACGACTATGATTCATGAGGTCATATATTGAGGTCATGATCTACTGATTTATAACAGCGAAATGACCATTGAAAGATATTGTGAGGCAAGGAGGGAGTATTCGGTGCAGGTCATGCGAATAAGATGAATAATGACGAGCTTAATACTCGAAATAACCACTTCCTTATAAATCTGTCTTAAAACAACACCGATCATACAAATGTCACCATCTGCCAGAAAAAGTGTACGATGATATCCTCGGTACTCCATTCATTAAACTAGAATTTCGCGCCATTACGTGAGGTGTTACCACTTCCCAAATTTGTATCTGAATGAAAGCTGTAAAGGTGGCTCCAGCACCCCATCTATGTAAACAATTCGTACAAGTGTTATTTTAATCAGGGTCTTCATCCTGTAATCGAAGTAAGGACCGTGGTACATAAAGCTTCAATTTGCAGTACTCATACTATCCAAATACATATATCAGGAACGCATTGATCTGAAATTACTTCTGCGTATATACTACGCTTTCAATAACGGTGGGGATGCTTTTATGACTTCCGAATAAGTCGTTTCCTATCAATGAATGTTAGTAATTGTTTTGGCCATTTTTCTCAAAATAAAGGCACAAATTAAAGAGCAATTATTTGTCAATATCCGGTTTCAAAATCCAATATGTTAAACAAACTTGAAATATTGAATCTTGTATATATTCTTAGGTATAGGGGAGGTAAGTTAGATCTAAATAAATAGCTATTTAATATAATCAGTGACCAATGCTAACACGTCTAGTCTTTTCTTTATTAATAACTATAACTATGGGAACACCAAACTCAATCATTCACTGACTATAGTTTTTTTTATCAAAGTAATATTGGTAAAGTCAAAAAATAGTAACATTGTTTTAAACAGACTTTTCACTAACCACGTACAGATATACATGCCTGTTTGCAACATAAATGGTGATTATGATTTAAAGATGGGTTTCCGTATTTTTTAGTGTCAAATTAAGCAAACTATTTGATCAATTGGTGTTTCTAATCAATTATCATGTATTCTTAATCATATCGTTATGTTCTTATTGCATATAATAAGGAGTTCAATCAATCGTAAATGTTCATGTATGTCTGGATAAACAAAAAAAGACTTTTTGATCGGCCACTCATTAGAATTCTGGTGGTAATTCTCTTCTAATTAACTAATTATGAATTTATTATGGACAATGTGAGACAAAGTGGTATTTTTCCAAGTCATTAGAACACCTCTACTTTCTATTCATATAAGTATTAGCATTTTCATTTTCATAAATGAAAATAAGGGAACCCATCTTTAATATTGACAAGCATAAGTAATTTCTCATAAAATATCTTCCGTAACCCATAGTACGATCTTGTAATCAAGAGTCAGTTGTTATCAATTGTGCAAACATTTGTGCATTTATATATGCCTCAATGAAAATCCATCATCTATATTCATACAATCGGACCACAGCTTATTCTTATATAAAGCTTGTTGACTTTGTTGAGATGAGTTGAGATACATTTGGGCATATTTAAGGCGAATGTAAAAGAAGAATAACAATATAACCAGACATATTTTATTGAAGGTAATAAGCAGAAAGGGTTTGTGGTTTAACCAATAATTGGTTTGCTGGTATGATGGGAAGCTTGCACCAATAATTTGTGTATCTGAAAAGGAACCAACAGTGTAAAACAGATTAACAAAACATCGAACTGATAGTGAGTGTGCTTTATCGGGAAGGTTAAACTTAAATCTTGAAACGATCGTTAAATGTTTGAAAGAGTTTAAAATTTTTAAACTAGACAGTACTACCAGACAGCTATACCAGACAGTTATACCAGACAGTAATATTAGACAGTTCTACCAGTCAGTAATATCATACAGTACTACCATCCAGTAATATCCGACAGTACCACCAGGCAGCAATACAAGACAGTACTACCAGGCAGTACTACCAGACAGTACTACCAGACAGTAATATTAGACAGTTCTACCAGACAGTAATATCATACAGTACCACCAGACAGTAATATCAGACAGTACTACCAGGCAGCAATACCAGACAGTGCTACCAGGCAGTAATATTAGACAGTACTACCTGGCAGTACTACCAGGCAGTAATATTAGACAGTACTACCAGGCAGTAATATTAGACAGTACTACCAGACAGTAATATCAGACAGTACTACCAGGCAGCAATACCAGACAGTACTACCAGACAGTACTACCAGACAGTAATACCAGAAAGTGCTACCAAACAATGATAACAGCCAGTACTACCAGGCAGTACTACCAGACAGTAATATCAGACAGTACTACCAAACAGTAATACCAGACAGTACTACCAGATAGTAATGCCAGACAGTACTACCAGACATTAATGTTAGACAGTAATACCAGACAGTAATACCAGATCGGAACATCCGAGACTACACCGTATTATTTAATATATCACTTTCCTTTGATCTTTTGAGTGTCCACTTACGTATTTATTTCTATTTTGATACATTGTAAAAATATAGTCGCATACAAACTGATTTGAATTCGATACGCATTGGAAGTATCGAGTACTCTGGCGTGTTAGTTAGGTGCACTTTTTTTTCAACCCAACACCAATACTCACAGCAGTATATTCTACAGTAAATTCATGTAAAGAAACGTGGGAATCACTGTCAACATCAAAATGATGGAAGGCGATTTTCACATCTGATTTGTCTAATTTACCATTATCATTAACATCAAAATATTTGTACATAGCCTGAACTAAAGCAGGGTTTTCAGTGCTGTGAACAGCCTGGTATTCAGCCATAGACAGATGACCATCCTCTAAAAAATACCAATAGTTTATTAACGAAAACACAATTTGAATTAGCCTATTATTTTTAATACCCGCAGAAAACTGTTTGCGCAAGGAGGGTCCCTAAAACGACATATCTAGATCTGTTTTACTAGGATCAAAATGAAGTTAAACAGTAGTATGACAGGATTGAAGTAACCATCAATTGTTTTTTTGGGGAAAAGTACAAAGAATATAATTACAATGCGCCATTTCTATCAAAATACTTCCATAACCATCTTTCTTGTATCAAATAAAGCAGCAATTAGATTATACGCCAATCAAAGCCCACAACAGATATACTTTAAGCATTATGACTTGTTGTTCACAGACTTTCTGTTGAGGACTGATTGGCTGTATTGGGTAATGTACAATCCAGCCAATTTGCTGCATTACAAACTTCCGTGTTCAAGAAAGGGGGTTAATGCAGTCAAACTATAAGACGAAGTTCGCAATAGCTTGACATTGTTTTAATGTAACAATTCTTTGATCGGTAAAAACTAGCCTCATTAGTTGAATCACTGCCGTTTGCGCGTAAGACACGGTATATGGGAGACAAACGCAACTTACTGTCGGTATCAGCAGATAAAAATGCAGCATCCATTTCTTTCAAGGAGAGCATACCATCTTTATCGGTATCGACAAGAGTAAATGAAGTTTTAATCATATTGTGGCCACCGCTAGACAATATACAATTATTATGATGAGAAAGCATGATCCACATTATATAAGTTGTTCATCCCTTCTGAGAATCCAGAACGCTTAATAATCATATTATTCATCGAGTAAGGGATGCTTCTTGGAAGAACTCTTCAAGATTTCGAAAAAGGATATTTGATTCTAATTGATTTTGGTTAATTGCGATGTGCTACGGGATGTTTTGGTAGAAAATAGAGTCGGTATCAAGGCATTATGCAAATACACTACCAATTGCAGGAAAGTAAAACCACACACAGCAAGGATAAGGAAGAATGTTAATCTGTAAGTATAAGTATTACCAGAATTTGTCACATTTGACAAAGCACTCGCTGAGATCGCAAGAACCACAGATCTTTCCTATATCATTTATACCAAATAACAAATGGGATACCGCGAATATAATGGTCATAAGGTGAGTAGGCTTTATAATATGGTAATAAATTCGAAGGTGGAGGGTCAAATTATGGTCTAAAATGAAAAGGAAATTAAGAATCTTTATAAACTTACTTGTGGTGTGTGGTGTGTGGAGGATGTGTGTGAGCGTGTTGTGTGTGTGGATGCTGGGTGTGTGGGTGTTTGGTGTGTGGATGTTTGGTTTGATGGGTTGGAGCAGCAGTGTCCTGGGCATAAACAGCTACGACCACTAACAGAACGACAACCAACAACTTCATCATCTTGGCTTTACTGGAAAATAAATCCAATTAAGTCAACAACAAATATGTAGTTCCGAAGTTAGACATGCAATTTCTTTCGAAGTCTATCTACATTTAAAAATAATTTGCGATCCATCGGATTATTTACAAAACTTCTGTTAAACGCTAACATGCACAAAGTGCAAGATAAAGTCTGTAATGAACGTATGATGCTATGAGAGCTTAGTAAATCATATTCTGAACAAAAAATTCGCGACAGTCTGTGCCATGCGCATCATAACCACATGGGAAATTACCGATGTAAATGAGGCGTGCAGATTTTTTTTCGTCGGGAAAAGTATGCATATTGATATAATATTGCCATAATTATGCAGAACTTGAGAAGTCGAAATTTCCACTAGAATAGCAGTTTCACAATGCCAAGCTATTACAAACGGCATCAAATACATTGACTGTCATAGCCACCTTTCTTGTACCTAGATTATACGCTATCGAATACAGCCAATCATATCCCGCGACAGAAAGACTACAAATCGAGGGTTGTGAAGGAATATATTCGTTAGCATACAGTCCACTCAAATCGCTGAATTTACAAACATCCGTGATACAAGAAAGGTTACTATTGCAGTCAAGTTATTAGACGCAGTTCGCAAAAGCTTGACATTGTAAAGATTCTAGAATAGTTAGAAGTTGGACTTACCTTCGTGTGTCAACCGATAAACTACGGATTGGCTGATAGAAGTCCTTATTGCCTTATATACTTGATACACTGGTCTTATCTTATAAAACAGGTGACGTGGGAATCGTTGTCAACGTACTGACAAGAAATCTAATCTCGGTGGTCCGAATTTTTTGTGCCATATCTCAGTTTTGACGGCATATCTCTCAAACTTTCACTGTTCACAATCTGTCCATTTCACCACCAATGCATATGTCCACGTGCAATTCTGCTGACAGCATTCTTTGTAGCGTGGCAGTAATTTAGCTCATTAATGAATTTAGATAGAAACTGGAATTTAACCCTCTGCTTTTCTGATACGCTATGTAGTGTACCAAGAAAGGCTTTATAACCTAATTTCTCCCCTAATAAAATGATGATGAGTATTATCATTATTATTATTATTATTATTATTATTATTATCATTATTATTATTATCCGGGATTAAATTTCCAGAAAAAAACTCCATATCTGTTCATGCTCCGCCAAGGTTGTTGCACAGAAAGGCACCTCTAGTTTCCAAGGGTTGAGCGCGATTATCTATAGACCCAGTTATACTCCCTTTCATTCTTCTATCCAGATATTTAAATCTGGTTTGACTATGAGTTTCGTTTTACAGTTTAGGTCGTTCGAATTTGTAAGTACAAGTAATATATTCGGAGTTGACCTTCAGACTTATTGTTTAGGGGTGGGTAGGGGGTCTGTAGCTTCTGTGTTATTTTATTATTTCATTTCATAAAATAATTAATTACCAAATGTGGAGAAATCCGCTCTCCTGCGTTGGAGTTCATTTTAGTTTGAATGGCGCCGCAGCAAAACGTGTTCAATTTTTTTTTTCAACTATATTTTCTTATTTCTACGATAGATTATAAACTATGGATAGCTCTCAGTTCGAAAATTTAATGAGTTATTTGCCGCAGATGACAACTACTCCATTGTCGGCTGATTCTAGACAGAATTTACGTTCTAAACCGATGGAAACTACCATCAACGAAATACAAGCCGCTGCCGGTGCCATTCCTAAAAAAGTTCGTAAAATGACTAAAGCAGAATTGATCGAGCAAATCGCTGAATTACAGGAAAATATTGATACGAGATTATCAAAACTTGAGCTTTCACACCAGCCCCTCAGATTGACATCAACGGTACCTTGCAATAAATCTACACCAAAGCCCTCCACAGCACCTATGAATATGATGATGGAAGATAGGCCTACTACTGAAGTTACAATTAAAAATCTACAGGCAATTCCAGAAGTCCAATCATCTGTAGCTGCTCAACTAGACTCGATGCCAATAATTGGTCATGCTGATACCAGAAGGTTACCTGATAGGCCTAATCCTAACGAGTTTTACAGAAGTAGTGCAGCCAGTTTAGGCCTATTACAAGATCATGATACCGCAGTGCCAGGTAAGCCTAGACAAAAATCTGGCATGGACCTGGAAAGTCAGGAAAATATAGTCAATACTGTTTATTGGCCTCATGCTTTTACAAGTGAAATTACTCATATTGTCAAGAACAGAAAAGCTCAGATTATTTCGCAAGAGGCGTTTATTTTAGGCGCTGTTAATATTCTAATGCAGCCAGATACTATTGTGCCCTTACCAGAAAAACTTGCTAGACTGAAACTATTAAAAGATGTTATGAAGCTGGCAATATTAAACGGATGGAATCATGCCCGTCAATACCACAACTGTGTATTACATGGTATTGAAGTTGGTTCCCATACTTGGACTTCATCATTTGAAAATTTGTCTCATTTCACAGCAGTTAATGACACTAATTCTACTGTCAGCTCAAACAGTTTTAACAGTGCTAAGATTAAGCAATCGAGTAATGCTAATAGCAATACCCCAAGAATTCAGAACATTATATGCTACAGCTACAATTATGACAAGAATGTGGATACTGAGTGTGCTTTCTCACGTGATGGTAAGCAATGTCAAAAGATTCATGTGTGTTTAGCGTGTGCAAAAAATGGATATACAAATAAGCATCCAGAAAAACTATGTGAGAAATCAAAATCTAACAATAGCAGGTCTGGTAATTGACATAACTTGGGTACAGAGCTTTTACAAACAATGAGCCCCTATGAAGTTGAGCTAATTAACCTAGATGCGCCTAATTCTGAGCTTTATAATTCTGAGCTTTATAATTCTGAGTCTAGCATTCATGAGCTTGATAACCTGGAGCCGAATATTGAGCATAAACTTTCTGCTGTCTAAAATACTGAGCTGCCTGCTTCTGAGCCTGATTCCAGTGTTGAAGATATTCACTGGCAAGTGTTTAACTCTGGTCAATATAACTATCAAGGAGTGAGAATACCTGTACATACTAACTTCAGCTTGGCAAGACAAACTAGCTCATTACTCGGATAATAAGTTATGTGATTTCTTAACCTATGAATGGCCTGTGAATTTTTCATATGAATATTTGCCTTCAAGGATTTTTGATAATCATCCATCTGCTTATGACTTTTGTGATGCAGTTGATGATTATATCGTTACAGAGTTATCTCACAATGCTGTAGCTGGTCCATTTATTGATAGGCCTTTTAATGGACAACTAGTTACTTCACCTCTGCAAACAGTTTGCAAAGATAGTGTTAATACTTTAAAACGACGGGTTGTAATTGATCTCAGTTTTCCTTTAGAAAATTCTATAAACTCTGGCATAAACCGTGATAGTTACCTAGGAAATCCCTTCGCACTTACATATCCAACTGTAGACACTTTAGCCCAATTAATTCATACTAAAGACCAGGGTTGTTACTTGTATAAATTAGACTTGTGTCGCGCTTATAGACAGCTACCTGTAGATCCATATGATTATTGTTTATTGGGATATCATTGGAAAAATAGATATTATGTGGATACAAAACTGCCCTTTGGTCTTGCTTCTGCTGCAATGGCATGTCAGCGCACCACTAATGCTATTTCTTATATGTTCAATCAATTGAATCATGAGCTTGTAAATTATTTGGATGATTTTGCCTCTGCTGAGCGTACAGAACTTGAAGCAATCAATTCGTTTAACCAATTAAGGGAACTTTTGAGTGAGCTTGGTATTCAGGAATCTGTTAATAAAGCTGTCCGTCCTACTCAGCATATGACATTTTTAGGTGTATTGTTTAAAACTGATTCTATGACCATAGAGGTCACCCCTGAACGCTTAAAAGACTGTGTACTAGACTTAGATAATTGGCTTGCAAAAGATTCAGCTACAAAGCGTGAAATTCAGTGTTTAATAGACAAGTTACAATTTGTTGCTAAATGTGTAAAACCGGGTAGAATTTTTATATCACGTATGTTAGACACACTCAGGTCTTTACCCTATCAAAATAGCAAGACCTTATTGGATATAGATTTTAAAGCAGATTTGAATTGGTGGAGAAAATTCCTTAATACTTATAATGGAATTTCTGTATTGGGGGATGTTTTATTTTCCGAACCAGGTGCTGTGTTTCTGACTGATGCCTGTTTAGTGTTTTGTGGTGGATTTTGTGACAATCTTTGTTTTTCCAGGAAATTTCCAGCTCATATCTTGGATAGGAACTATAGTATTAATATTCTAGAATTACTGACAGTATTAGTAGCTGCTAAGCTATGGGGTCATAGATGGCAAGGTCTTAGGATCCATGTGAAATGTGATAATATGACTTCTACAATTGTGATCAATACTGGTAGATCACATAACCAAATACTAACTAAATGTGCCAGAGAACTTTTGTATATTGCTGCATGTTATAATTTTGATATCAGGGCTGTGCATATTGCTGATCAATTGAGTAGAGGGTATAGTGCTAAAGTATTGAAAGATAACCCTTCTTTCATTTTGCATGATTGTCCTGATTCCTGGTTTGATTTTTACTCATGATTGGTAGCTAACTTTGCATTAATGGATATTGATAATTCTATTTGCAGATCAAACCCGGATTCAGTGGCAATTGTTGCAGCATGAAACTAGATTAACTCAGAGACAAGCTGGCACTTTACAGAACATAAAAGCTCATTGGAAGGCTTACTTATCTTTTTGCAATTTTTTCAATTTGAATAGTGTACCTATTAATCCACAAGATTTAGCCTGTTTTATTTGTTTTATGTCAAGATCATGTCATTCTTTCCAATATTTATCATCAGTCGTTAGTAGTGTTAAATTATTACATCAGTGCTATGGTTTCGATATAGAACCAACACAATTTTTGCAAATCAAGTCAATACTTAATGGACTACGTCGATCAGTTTGCATTGCACCCATTCAGAAGTTACCTGTTACACAGACTATCCTATTAGAAATTTATTCTGTATTGGATTTATCCAAGCCTTTTTATATGGTCTGTTGGACTTTGTTTTTAGTCGCTTTTTTCTCCTTTTTACGTTTCTCATTCCAGACACACTTAAGCATGCGAAAGAGAGCAAAGCACATTTTCTGCGTAGAGAAGCCATAATTTTATTGTCGGAAGCAGCCTTATTAATCATTCGTTCTTCCAAAACCGACAATTTCCAGGAACAAGAAGTTATTGTGCCACTTAGTGCCATGCCCAATAATATTTTATGCCCAGTTTCTGCTTTACATGTAGTGTTTTCTCAAATTTCAGCTGAGTCTGATTCCCCTGTTTTTGTTTATCCCAGTGGTACTGGATCCTTGCTCCCTTTAACTTATAATATTACTTTGAAAGTTTTTAAGTTATTGCTTAAGAGACTGGGTTATAACCCAGCTTTATATTCATTGCATAGCTTTAGACGGGGTGGTTGTACTTATGCTCATTCAATTGGAGTCGATTTGGAATCTATTCGCATTCATGGCAATTGGCGTTCTAATGCTTACCAGCAGTACATAAAACCTGATTTGCAACAGCAATTACAAGTTACCTCCCTTATGCTTAAAATGTGTTGTTAAATTGTTATATGTTGTCAGCTAACAATTTTTTACAAGTGGTTTGGGGTTTGTTTGGCCTTTTTTCTAATATCTTAACATATAAAATATAATTTACTTGACCTAAGCTACCCACTAGCTTCCGACTTTGTGCCCTTCCAAATATTGACCTTTTTACAACTTTGAAGATAGAGATTTGAGGCCCTTGTTGGTATCTTTGCAAGGTTGTATGACAATAATTGAACATCAAGTACTAATGATCCTAATGTTTGATAACTCCGACAAGATCTATAAAGAAAATTAAAGGGACGAATGCCATTTTGAAGGGTTGATTTTGAGTCTTGAAAATATGTAAATAGTCCTCAGAAGTACTAAAAATGTAGGGTAATCGCAAAATTCCTTTGAAAATATCTTAAACTAGGAAATTTACTCACTTTTTCTATATATGTTTATTCTATATATCACAGAGTATCTTAAACTGGAGAATCGTCATTTTAACATTCAAACGTGGATAATTCTACACACACATGGATTTGAAGGCTCAAATTTTGACGGTGAGCTATGAACACTATTACTGATTGGCTTAGCTAGAAAAATCCCGTTTCTGGGACTAAAGTATGATTGGTCAACAAATAAAATGGAGCACTGTCCCTTGAATATCTTGCTAATATTGATGACAATTATTGTCAAGATGATTTCAAATGGAGCCTGCTTTAATACGATTTTCACTTGCTGAGATATCTTACATACTGTCACAAGTCGCACATGGGATAACGCTTATCTCTTGTTAGGAATGAAAACCGCCTTCAAAATCAGAAGGTATTTTTAGAACCTTACGAGATTATCGATTAAGTGTTTTACTATGCATATTTATACCCATTCTTCTTTAAAGTCGATAATGATCCGATACCCACCTTGTTCAAGTCTACACTTGCCTTTACTCACTACTATAGTTCTGTTGTTACCCTACGCCAAACAGTTTAAGGACACAGTCCCCAGTACCAATCTCAAATATCATGGAAATAAAGTCTGGTCTGAAATGAATGAAAGTGCTTACACTTGCTATTATGATACCGCTCTTATCTGAATTTGATACTGATAATTATACACAGAAAAGTAATTCTGATACGGGAGGAAGTCTTGGTAATTATATAAGGATGAAAGACGACTAATCTATCAAGCCCTTATTATTCTGTCTTTAAAGGGACAAATCCGCCATCAATTTTTCCAATCGTACTTTCGTCTCAGAAACGGGAATTTTGCAGCTTTGCCAATCAGTAATAGTGTTCACAGTCGTTAATTTGGATTTTTAATAGTAAGATGTAAATAGCATAATTTTGAAATATTTTCAAGTACCGGTACTATTGTTATAATGAAAAATTTGCATACTCCCCCTTTAATAATGAATAAATTAATTTATTAACCATGCACATATTAGTTGTTTTAATAGTTTACTATATTATATGTATTATAAATCTTATAATTATAATTTCCCTGATATTATATGACACTCAGGTTCGTACAATCAGGATTCGTAACATAATAAGACCAAGAGGAAATTATTAGGAAATTTTGCTCTGTATTAATCTAACAAAAAATTATCACTGAAGAAATAAACAAGGTATATAAGACTATATAAGAGCCGCTTTCTCTTTAGACTTTACGATGAGAGAAAATTGAGAACAACCATGAGTCTGATATTTATGGTTGTATTTTTTCTGGGGATATCAACAACATCAGCATTTGACTCAACTCTAACAAACAATACTCTTAAAACAACCAAGATAGAGAGGTCGAGTCCTATCCCGGAAGATTGTTTGGAATTTACTCCTCAAAGTTGTTCCGGTGTTTGTGGCCAGTTCTTTGCTTTATGGTGTTCATGTGATGAATATTGCTTGGTTTATGGACGATGCTGTTTTGACTATGAATCAGTTTGTAAAGAAGAATCGGAGAAATCCAAAAAAGATCATGAGAACCTGATGAACGTTACGATGGAATGTGACAGTAAATTATCAGGAAAAGATGTCCCACAACAGGTAATTATAGTCGTATATATATTGATATAATTTGTTATTAGTTACATTGGTCCTGTTTGTCGTCATCTCATCTCAACGGAAACTACCAGAAACTGCCCAATTGCAGAATGGTAGAAGAATAGTAGCAGAATGGTCACAGGTACCGACCGCTCATATCGAACGCTTAATCCAATATGTGATAGAATGTAGAACATGAGGTACTGATTGTAATTGGTGGTAATTGCAAGCTGTTAATCGTCGGTGCACTCAGGTCGACTAAATCGAGTCTAGATTCTCCAAGAGTACAATATTGCTTATAATTGTTAAAAATATCAATGATTTCAGATTCTGTCGGTAGCATAACCCCTATTTATTGATTTGTTCCCAATCTAGTAACTTAACGAACGACAACTTCATGTAACATTTCAGTAACTGAAAGATGTGCAAAATTTCTCACATAAGTTTTGCTCAGCAAGTTAAGATCATAGACCAATTCGAAATTTATTTATTTGTTCATCGAGCTTTATATCTATCAGATTCTTGATATATAGTATCATGAGTGTTAGATTGGATAAAGACACAGTCTAATTAAAATTAGACCAAACTTTTGTTCCTTTTTTTTTATCAACTTTTATACACCTTTTGTACGTATCACAAAATCGCAAAAATGAGAGGACAGGTTCGTTCAAAAATACCGTCTTGAGCCCCTCACTGAGGTGGTTAAAACGGAACGAACGTTTGGTTTAATTTTAATTAATTCATAATAAGCTAAATTAGAAGAGAATTACCAGCAGAATTGCAATGAGTGAGCGATCAAAAAAGGTCAAAAAGTCTTTTTTTTTTATCCAGACTGTACATACATGGACATTTGTGATTGGTTAAAAGTCAATAAGAACATAATGATATGATTATGAATACATGATAATTCATTAGAACACAAATTAATCAAATTGTTTGCTTAATACTTTAAAAAATAAGGAAACCCATCTTTAAAGAAGTTGTTATGGACCCTAACTAGAGTGGTTGTGTAAAAATTAAAGTTAATGCAATAAAAAAATTTGGAAAGGGACATTCATGTTTTATTCTATTATAGTTTCTTGTAACTATAATATATTACACCGATTGATATATTTCAATATTTATATTATATTTAGATTATTACCAGTTGTTCTCTAACCAATGTATCTGTCAAGACTGTAGAATTGTGTGAAGAAGAAACCAGATCGTCCGTAGTTGTAACCAAAGTGATGTCAAAAAGGACAGAGCTGCATTATAAAAACCGACATTGTATGTTATGTAATGGTGAAGACGAAGACGATATTGTTTATTGGTCCACAATGATTGGAACTAATAACCGTAGAATAAGGGCTAGCAGTGGGAATGACATATTGGGATTATTCCGCAATCATGTAATTTTTATCCCTCCCCCTAATTCAAGAGAAATTATATGTTACCCCGGTATGATAACGTCCTGTGTACCTTCTGCTGCTCAGGAAGAACAACGCTTGTGTGTGGAAAATGCCCTATCGCCCATTAAATACCAAAAGTCAATGTATAAAAACACATTTTGTCTTCAATGTAATATTGTATTAGAGCCAACTGACGGTTGCTTCTCGGCGAAACGAAAAGATATATTTTATGGTACAAATGAGCATTCTTTCACTCTTTCAATACTTCTCAACTGGAAACAAAATAGAGAATCGTTTGTCTTTCTTGACTCTAAAATGAGTCTTATTCAAAATTTATCTTGTTCTTTCGATGATAATGACAATGTAAAGGAATGTAAAGTAAGAAAATGTGTTGGTACTCTGCCATTAGTCAATAATACCTGTCAGACATCAAATCTTTTTGGTTGTATTCAATATTTTTTCAAAATTAATTTCACTGTACCTTCCGAATCATCCCGTGAAATGGCACTAGAAGTAGAACGTATTTCCTCCAAACTCGTTCAGACAGCTGCCACTTTAGAACGTATGCATAACGTTAACAAATACTACAGTCAAAATGTTACGCTGTATAATCTAACTATAGTTGATGATCAGCTAACAGGTATTATTATACTCAATAGAATGGCTTATAATTTGTGTAATTCTCAATTTAGTTTACTATCATACAGACGATATTATGAGTATCTAGATACTAATTTGGCTTTCAATCTAACAGGTAGCATTACTACATATAGATATTCAGTTAGATGTTATCATTGGTGCCGACTGAATCCCACTGATGTACCGATAGCAGCGACCAGGTTATACCAGCGTTTCTTTACTTGCAACACAGAAATTGATCTTGATTCGACATCTTCTGTAACCAAATTAACACCGATATCTGTTTCTTCTGAAACCAAATTAACACCAATATCTGTAAACGTAGTATTTTTCATGGTCATATTGGTGGCCCTATTAGCATAAACTGTATAGTACTAATATGTACACACAACACTGAAATGGGTTCCTAGTAACTAACGCTGATGTCTGAAAACAAACTTGACATTTTGGTGGCCGATTAGCATCTTTTGGACTATTTGAATATTTAAATGCCCTGTAGATTTATGTAGTGTTTAAGATTACTGTGAACTTATTTTAATTCATCCTATTGTTTTTGTGATTATAGTTTGTTCTACTCTTTTTCATTGATAATAATTTTTGTAAGTTATCTTTATATTCCGCTGTATTTTACTGTATTTTCCCTGTAAAATCTGTTTTTTGGGTTATAGATGTTTACTAATAAATATGTTAACGATATACTGTTTTTGCTTGTGTATGAAATGGGCGATATTTCAATCGAACGTTTAGTACTTTATACGATGTGTTCCGGTAACATCTGAGAAAAAAAAAACACAGCAGATTATGACGTGACAGTCGAAAATATAATTCAAACCAAATTATATTGCGATAGTGATGTCGTAATCTGATCTTTTTTTTCTGTAATATTCGCTTGGGATTCTGTTTCACAGGAAACATCAGATATTAACTAAGTTACCAAAGTTTACCTACCAAAAATAGAACAGTACGGTGGAAACTGGTGTGTTAATGTTAACAACCGAAATATGAGCAAAAACAATTTCAGTTAAAGGTATTGTAAAGCGGTTTTCTAAAAATTGTACGTGTATACGGGACACTGACTGATAACATCGATTTTCATCATTGTAATTTTCAATCAGACGTCTGTGGCTCTTGTAATGCCACCTTAACACGCATTTTATGACGTCACTATCGTAAAGATCCCGGGGCCTTATTCTTGAAAACTTTACATAAGATGATTTTAGTTTTCTAGTCCCCGGATTGGTCAATCACTAAAATTGATTTTTTAATTTAGTTTTGTTATCCAATCAGATTACTACATTTCTTAAAGTTTGGATTTTTAAGTTAAGTGTTAGTGAAAAAACCCCTGATAAATCAATAGCAGCTTTTGCGATAGTGACGACAAAATTGCAAGAGCCACAGATGTCTGACTGAAAATTGGAATGGTGCAAATCGATGCTATCAGTATTCCCGATACACATACATTGTTTGATCTATCTCGCTCAAATTGGGCAATGAAGGCAAAAAGATAAAAGCAAAATACCAAACTTGGTTGGGCAAAATTTTAATGGCTTAGCTAGCCAGAACATACACAACAATTACAAATGATTAAGAAATGACTGACAAAAGATTAATAATCAAAACAAAAGATAAGAAAAATACCCCAGCCCAATATTGTAATTGAATATGTTAAGTAGTGAATTAAAGATGATTAAACCACTAAAACTTAAATTAAACCAAAGATGCACCAAACTCTTGCATGGTATGTAATTTGTGGGCAAAATCCGGTTCAATATACCTCAATACTGCGTCACTTTCCAAGTAACCTATAGCCTTGATGGTGTCAGCTGTAACACCTATGCGATTAAGCCAAGTGGCGCCGCCACGTCTAAAAGAATGCCCTTTAATATTTTTCCTTGTGAACCCAGCTTTTGCCAATGATAAAGATAAAATGGAGCAAAAATAACCGTAACTTAAAGCACGATACCCACGAAGGGGACCTAAGGGATCTACAGAACCAGTTATTACATAAAGATTCTGTAGAGCTTACTGGGCAAAGCATATTGCCAGTCACAGGCAGACAGGCTTCCATTTCACGCTGACGAAATTAGATAGTTTTAGAGTGACGTAAAGATAACAACAATCCCCATGAGCAAAAAATTATATCAACACGCCGCAAATCTTTGCTTTTATCAAAGGCATGTTTGCTTGTAAAATTACTTGGTCGCAATAGGCCAAAAAACGCAATCAAACAGGCGCACCAAAAAGAATTATCATCTAAAGATTCAAAATCCAAAACTGACTTTATCTTAATGAGAATGTCAGGCGTAATAACGTCAACAGGTGTCTGCTTGGTGCCTATGTCTCGTTTAACTCCTCCAGGAATCCTGTTCCATAAGTTCAATAGAGTCTGTCCAAGTTACTGTCGGTTCACTGGAGGCGGTACGTTGTCTCAGCTGACGATCAGGATGATCCCAGAGATGTTCAATGTGGTTCACGTCAGGGGAACAAAGTGGCCAGGGCAATGCTTCGACGTTCGCATTGTTCAGATAGTCTTGAACAATTCTGGCAGTATGAGGCCTTGCGTTGTCTTTTTGTAACATTAATCCTCTTGGCCGTTGTGGAATAAAAGGCACTACAACAGGTCTCAACACTTCATCAATATATCGCTGAGCATTCAGATTCCCTCAAATGATAGCCAGTCGTGTTGTAATCTGGCCACAAATGCCATCCCATACCATGACGCCTACACCTCAAAACGGGTGAACTTCTGTGATGCAGTTTGGCGCCAGTCGCTCCCCCCTTCGTCGAAAAACTCGAACCCTGACATCGTTCCTGAACAAACAGAACCGACTTTCATCTGTAAAGAGCACCCTCGCCCAGTCACATCGCTGCCACCGACGTACAGTTCGTGCCTATTGCAGTCTGCGTTGACGATGTAGACGGGTCAATGCCATTCTACGGAAGGGTCGGTAGGCTCGTATACCAACTGAACAAAGTCTTCGAAGGACTGTTCGTCTGCTGATAACATGACCTAGTGCTGTTGCTGCCGTCGACGCCGCGTCGTTACCCATCTGGCCGTCGGCCAGTGTTGTCATTCTCGGTCTTCCCGATCTTGGGTCTGTCCTGTCTGTTGGAGCCGGATTATCAAATTGCTGATGGTGGTCTGGGAGCAGTTGAAGGTTCTAGCTTTCTGTCGTTAAGAAGCCCCCATATTGAACATACCGATCGCTCTACCTCGTTGCCCTTGCGTAAGTTTTGGCATACCTTTGGTGGTTTTTCGCTTACTGTCTGTCCAACTTCGGTATTTATGTCGAAATCGTGCATGTGCATTTGGACCAATATCGCAAAATTGCGTTTTGCACGTTCGATAATCTGCGTTGTGGTTATGATCACGTTGCATTTAGGCAGATGCTTGCTGCTTGAGTTCAAACCTGTACCAGCTTTTTTGCTTTTTTTTACAACGATGCCAAAACCCAAGAACCTCAAAAGCGTCATTAAAGTTTGCATTGCCTTGAGACAGGCGGCATAGGAGTTTTCAATTATCAAATAATCGTCCAAATAGGCAATGGCGGTGAAACCGTACTTTTCTTTCATAATCCGACAAACTGCGGCACTAAGTTTCTGGAATATTTGCGGGCTTTTTGATGACCCGAACGGCAGTTTAGTATCAATCATATAAGTTGGTTTTGAATCGCCGGAAAAAATCCATTTCAATCCAGTAGCCCTAAAGTTGTCTGGGTTTACAGGAACAGACCTATACGCCGCGCAATTTTTGCTAAGTAAGACCCGCGAGTAATGAGTTTGGCTGCTTGACGAAGATCCATATAAGAACAAGAGTAATCAATTTTGACTAAGTCATTGACTGAATGTCCTATCGGCCTACTGGCATCATGAATCAAACGAATACTATTGGAGTTTGGTTTAGGTATAGCACCGAGAGAGCTTACAATGTCAGGTATCTCATCAGTCACCACATAATTTCCATTTGCAATTTCAGAATTTATTTGGTCTTCAACGAGTGCACTATATTGTTTGCACGATTTGTAGTTGTTCATTTCGACTGGAGTCGGAGCAACATCCTGTGAGGTCAACAATTTTAAAGCCAAATTGTACACCTTCCAAAATAAAGGTTCTGTCTATATCATCAACAGGTAAAAGACGTACCCAGGCATTATAATGTAAGCCTGATCTGCCAGCAGATGTTACCTCTGACTCATTCATTACTTTTCTGAATGCTGAGCTAAACTATGCTCTAGTAAACATGTTGAACAAACATGTGCAAGTTTACACTGAGCAAAGTCACAGGAATCCGAATTAAACTTGCGACAAATTTCCCGACCATCTGGTGTGTAAGGACAGTAGTATATGTGTTTTCTGATATAGCGCATCCAGTTTGATCCGGTTTTTAAGATGGCAGGTATATGTCTTTTCGGATATGACGCATTTCACTTCTGTGCATGCGCGGCTTTTTCAATGCGTCATATCCGGAAAGACACAACTGTTAAAATGTATTATAACAGACTTCCCCAAACTGTTAAAAAATGTATTATAACAGACTTCCCAAACTGTTAAAAAATATATCATAACAGATTCCTCCAAACTGTATTATAAATTACCCAAAACCACAGACAAGAATCACTATAATAATACAGTATAAAATAACCGCATTAAAAATGTCTTTAATTTTAAAACACGAACAAAAAAAATTCGAGGGAGACGGTTTCTTCTCTGCGCTAACATCTCTCATCCCAAAGGTGGCCAATTTTGAAATTGGGTATGGGCATAGCAGACGAGATTCACAAAGAATTTCAAAAAAACAAACATTACCTCAAAGTCAAAGTTTTTGATAAAGATGAAATTTGGTCAGCCGATTTAATCAACATGCCAGTCGAGAAGGTACAAGTATTGTTTGACGGTGATCGACATATACACGAGATACGCTTGGGTCTTTCCCTTGAAAAACAAATCGGGTCTGACTGTCAAACAAGCATTCGAAACCATAATGAAACAATCCGACAGACGACCCCTAAAGTTGTGGGTTGATAAAGGAAGCGAATTCTACAACAGAAATGTGAAATCTCTGGGGTTTGAAATTTACAGCACGCATAACGAAGGTAAAGCCGTAGTGATAGAAAGATTCAACAGGACTCTTAAAAGCAAATTATTCAAGAAATTCACGGAATTGAAATCTCAAAAATGGCTTAAAATATTACCAGTTGTTGTCGACGAATACAATAACAAAATACATTCGTCTATAGGTGTGACGCCAACGCAAGCCTCTAATAACCCGAATATCATAAAGGCCGTCAACACTCGAAACAACTTTGAAAACGAGATTAGCAATTTGAATATTAAACCCAAATTCAAAGTTGGAGATCGAGTTC